ACACGTCTCTGGTTGGGCCGTGAGCGTGAAGAGGTGTACCGTCCTGCTGTTTGCGGTCCTCTCTGCCTGTGGGGCTGACTCGGCATCTCTTACCCCCTTTTGTCTCCTTGCCCACCCACCTGCTGGCCCAAAGAGCCCTGCCGTACACCTGGCGCTTGGGAGCCTGTCCTCAGCCAAGACACAGATGCCTCTTGCTGACAACCTGGGAGGACTCTTCTCCACAGGGAGCCCCAATCAGATGTGCCTTGGCTCCTGGGCCCAGGCAGCAGGCCAAGAAGGGCCGGAAATGCTCCAAATACTCTCCTTCCTCCAATAGCAAAGGGGAGGGAGGCCACTCAGAGAGGCCATTTTATAGTGAGAGCTCCTGCCCTGAGCTGGGGGGGGGACGGGAGCTGGGGGTACTTGGGGGTGTTGAGGGGAAGAGCCTGAACCAAGAAGGCATCCTTGTTTGTGAATGAACTGGTTAAAATCCCATAGCTCGGAGTTGCCTTCTGCCTAATCTGGGACTGCATGTATTTCCTGTGAGGCGTTCCTTCTTTGGGATACAGAACTTGGCTACTGGCAACCGTGATATCTGACCTTCCAAGGTTAAAAATACTGTTACCTGCCAGGCGTTGGTAGCGCTCGCCTTTAATCCCAGCACTCGGGAGGCAGAGGCAGGCGGATCTCTGTGAGTTTGAGACCAGCCTGGACTACCAAGCGAGTTCCAGGACAGCCTCCAAAGCCACAGAGAGAGCCTGTCTCGAAAAACCAAAAAAAAAAAAAAAAAAAAAATACTGTTACCTTGGTAAGACCAGGGTTTGTCAGTACCTGTGCACCCGTGTGCAAACTCATGCTTCTTACAGGCAGAGGTTTTCACAGGGAGTTTACCGAGGCTATGGGGGTATGGGGTTTGGAGGGAGGGGGCAATGTTGATGACAGGTGATGCTTGTCACATTGAGGGTACCATTTGGGGGAGCTGGGAGTGGGAATAAAATTTTTGGCAGATGGGGGAGTAGGTGGGTGGGGTACTCACCCCTCATCTGACCTTGAGCTTCAACCATATGGTGGGATGGGAGGGCCCTTATCCCCTGTTGCTGGGTTTCTGGATGTCATCCCCAATTAGTGATTAATGTTGAAGCCTACAAACAAGGCCCAGGCTGTTGCTGGTTAATGCAGCTTTTAGTTTTAGAGGCTGTGCAGGACCGTACTCATCTTGCTACTATCCCAGTTTATGGATGAAGAAACTGAGGCTACATGGTTGAATCAGTAGCTGGCGGAGCCTGGACCCCAACCAGAAAGTCCAAAGTGGAGGGACACCTCCCCAGCTGCTTCTCTCTGTAGTCTGCTTCAGTAGGAAACCTAGTAGCCTTGAATGGGGGAAGTGATGGCAGGTGCTGGCTTCCAGTCTTTTGTCCCCTGCTTCCTTCTACTTAGGGTGGCTTCCCCATTGTGCCTTTGCTGGTCTTTTTAGATATCTAAAGGTTTGGGTGGTGGCGCCCACCTTTAATCCCAGCACTCCAGGCAGAGGCAGGCGGATCTCTGTGAGTTCGAGATCAGCCTGGTCTACAAGAGCTAGTTCCAGGACAGCCTCCAAAACAATACAGAGAAACCCTGTCTCGGAAAACCAAAAAAAAAAAAAAAAAAAAGGGTTTGGGGTGAGTAGAGCAGGCAGGATCTATGGGGGGGGGGCTGAGTAGCTCTCCATGGGGATCTTGCCTTCCCTGTCAGGGATACTGTGCCCAGTAAATTCCTTCAGCACTGAGCACTCTTGCTCCTGCCTGTGCTCCTCTCCTGGAGAGGTAGACTGGTGTCCTCCCATGACACTCTGGAAAGGCCTGCCCCTGGCTAGCAGGGATGCAGTGTGGTGTAGACTGTAAGGAGCCATGGAAGGACTCGGACACACGTTTGTGGTTGGGAGGGGCCGAATTGAGTCTCAGCCTTGTGTTTCCTTCTGTATCTCACTGACCTGCCCAAGAGTACTGAAGGGAGTGGGGGGGTGAGGCTCCAAGCTGATCCTTCACAGTTTATCCTGGAGCAGAGAAGAGACCCACGTGTGTGCCCAAGCCTAGTAGTGCTGCATGGCCAATGTACAGTGTCCCTGTCAAGAGACTGTCAGAAAATGCCTGAGAGCCTGGACTCTGGGCTCAAATTCTGACTGCTGCCATACCACACACACATACCCACCCCCTCTGCAGGTTGATTAACTGCTTTAGTTTCCCTCCTGCAAATTGGGGGGTGAGGTGAGGGCAGGACCCACAAATGGTTTCCTAGTGAGAATTCAGGTCTGGTATGACTCTTGTACTTTGTAAATATATATGTCTGTGGCCCAGAAAGCCTCAGTGGCTCGTTCCAGTCACTCAGCTCCGCATAGCTCTTCTGTCTCCAGTCCTCTGGGCTGTGACAAAAGAATGGCAGCTTCTCCAGGACATAGCGCTTGCTGTAGGAGTGGCAGGCCTGCCAGACAGGGGCCAAAGGCTGCTGGACATAACGGGAGGCCTTTGTTGGTCCTGAAGGGAAGCAGCCATTTGGGGGGAAGCTGAGTTCAGCCCTGATGACCCTCAAGAGTAGTGTTTGTAAAAGTAAGGGTGTTGTGAGATAGGGCCTGTGAGAGAAAGGGGGTTAGGCCAGCCTCACGGTTGTGAGTGTGGGGTGTTTGCTCTGAGAGCCTGCTCTCAAGGTCCGTGTGCTTGTGATCTCTTGAAATGCGGAGTTCGAGGTCCCTCTTAGGCCTGGGAAGCTGGTGTCTGTTGGGCCTCTCTGTGGCCCCAGCCAGCTGCCTTTTTTACCACAGCCTCCACGGTACCTGTCACTATACTAAGATGTTGAGCACATTCTTGATATGGCCTCTCCAGGAAAGCCTGGGTTGTGTGGCCTTTTAAGACAGACTCTGGAGCTGGGCGGTGGTGGCGCACACCTTTAATCCCAGCACTCGGGAGGTAGAGGCAGGCGGATCTCTGTGAGTTCGAGGCTAGGCTAGACTGACAGCCTCCAAAATAATACAGAGAAACCCTGTCTCGTAAAACCAAAAAAAAAAAAAAAAAAAAAGCCCAAAACAGACTCTGCATGGGTGAGGCCTCCAATTGTGATTGTGCATGAAGAAATCATAAACCAAGGAAAGGGTTAGCTTCCGCCTTGGAGCTGTGTGTGCATCTGGCCTGGGTCCCTGAGGGGCAGGGGAAGATGAGGAAGCAGCTCCTTCTCGCTGGTTTCTGCAGAGATGAGTAAGAAGACTCTGGGAGTGCTCCTTTCCTAAGAATAGGCAGGGAATCCCACTGTCACTGAGTGCTGGGCCTGGCTTTGAATTTGGTTGTTGAGAAGGTTTTGGCAGAAGCACTCACGTCAAAATGCCCAGAGAAATCTTAATTCTTCACATGTAGCCAAGAGGCTGCAAGTAATGCCAGAGGGTCCAGCAAGATGGCTCAGGGGGAAGTGTGTGCCGTCCAGCAGGTCTGACACGTCAGCCTGGAATCCACACACGGGGAGGAAGCCACATCAAAACTGGTCCTCTAACTTCACTTCTTAAAAGTGATGCCCAGATTTCCAGGCAATTTCCTGGAAAGGCTCAGTTGCTTTTGGAGAGTTGCCCAGTGGCCTAACCCAGGAGGGTGGGGGAAAGAGCTCTGCATCCCCCGCTGCGGAGGCCTCTGATCCCCACTTTACTGACTGTTGTATAGTGACCCTGGATCCAGGGAATGGTTTGTTTTTTCTCCTCTTCCCTGGGTCTCAGGGTGTGCCTCTGCCATCACCTACTCCCCAAGGAACCCCCGCAGGGGCTGAGAGAGCAAGAGATGTCCCTGGGTGGCCTCCACCGCTGTCTCCCCTCCCGAGAAGAACCTAGAGAAAATGGGGGTTGGTTCTGTTCGCTTTGCTTTCCCTCACAAAGGCATTGCTGGCACTTCCTTGCCTGCACAGTTGGCCCTCTGCTTTACAATTTGTCTCACATAGGCTCTGGGTCACTCTGACCCCCAGGAGGAGGGACTTGTGGCTGGAGACCATTCCATAACTGGTTGGACAGCGCCACCTCCTGGCTGCGATGCTCTTCTCAGCCGCTCCTTGTGGAGCAGTTACCAGAGCAGTTAGCTTCTGGAGTCAGGGAACTTGCAAGGGATAATCTGAAGCCCATTGCTCCCTGCCTTGGATCAGTTCAGCCTTTCTGGGGCTGCATCGACAACGGCTTTGAAAGTGGCTTTGTATTGCCAAAACCCAGGTGGCCAGGGTAGAACAGAACAGCCATGGTCTGGGAAGCAGAAGCTTTAGCCTAAGACTGAAGGAAGGCTTCAGGATGCACGGGGCCCAGGGTCTTAATACATCTGTTTCCCAGCCAGCTCCCTCGAGTGGGAGTGGGTGGGTGGGTGGGAAAATGGCTAGATCATGAGAAGAAAACTCGGGTACTCACAGTTAGCGTGCCTTCTTCCTTGGAGCTGAGGCTTGGGGTTCTTCGTTTTCTTTCTATTTTTTCAAGTCAGTGTGTGTGCGTGCGCGTGCATGCACATAGGCAAGCAACATTAGGCAGCTTGGGAGCTCTTCTTTCCTCCACCATGTGGTGGGGCTCAGGTTGTCAGGCTTGGTGGCAGCCTGCGCCCCCTGACAGCCCAGCCAGCCCATGTTGGGGAACTTCTGAGATTTTAGGCAATGTGGGCTCAGTTCTGTTGCCAGTGCCATGGGTTGCTGTCTTTCCTAGAACTGGGTCTTGCTGGGGACCGGGTCAGGAGGCCTTAGGGCCTCGTGGGTTCACTTAGATGGATGGTAGTGTGCTGCCGCTGAGGCGTGCGTGCGTGTACCCAGCCCAGTATGAAGATAAGCCCCGTGCAGCTCAGGTCTCCCATTCCCAAACCCGAGAGTGGGGATCACTCTGTTTCCTCACTGAAGGTGAAGGAACACTGTTACTGTATGTGGCCGTCCAGTGAGCCGTATACTGTGCCTCAGCAGAGCCCAGACCTGAGGGTGTGTGCGCGTTGGTGGCCGCTGACAGACTGCTGTCCTGTTGGCTAATGCCTTTGCCGTTCCTTCTCCTCTAGGCCTAGTCTCCAAGTCCTCTCCTAAGAAACCACGGGGCCGGAACATCTTCAAGGCCCTGTTCTGCTGTTTCCACACCCAGCATGTTGGCCAGTCAAGCCCTTCCACTGAGCTCACATACAAGGAGGAGACAAACACCATTGCTAAGGTAGTGGTATGGGATGGCATTCTGGCCCACAGGCCCTTCCTCTCTTCCCTTAGTAGCCTGTCTCCTTTCTCATACTTGTCATCTGTGGAGTGGGCTGTTGAGATAGTGCAGATGCCAGGACCCACTGAAAGATGCCTTGCAGACAGGGAAACTGAGTCCCAGGAATGTAATAAGTGTACCCCTTGTCAATCACTGATGGTAGCTGTTTTATTATTGTCTAGAACTCAAAACTAACTGCCTTCCAGCCAGGCATTGGTGGCGCACACCTTTAATACCAGCACTCGGGAGGCAGAGGCAGGTGGATCCCTGAGTTCAAGGCCAGCCTGGTCTACAAAGCGAGTTCCAGGACAGCTTCCAAGACAATACAGAGAAACCCTGTCTCGAAAAACAAAACAAAACAAAACTAACTGCCTTCCAAATGAGTTTCTCTGTAGAAACCAAGGAATTAAAAATGCCCACGCTCTGAGTGATCCCAATAGCATCCAGCAGACTGGAGGCAGAGGCAGGTGTATCCGAGTTCAAAGCCAGACTGATCTATATAGCAAGTTTCAGGTCAGCCTGAGCTACATAGTGAGAGCCTTTCTCAAAACAACAACAAACAAACCCTTGCAGCAATTTGCAGCTGTGCCATGTGAGCACTTGAAAACATGACTCTTTGTTTTTGTTTTTTGAGACAGTGTTTCTGTGTGAAACAGCCCTGGCTGTCCTGAAACTCACTCTTGTAGACTAGGCTAGCCTTGGACTCAGCAAATATCTGCCTGCTTCTGCCTCTGCCTCCTGAGTACTGGGATTAAAAGTGTACGATAACTGCCCAGCGTTGACTCGAAGGCTAGTGTTCCAGCCCCAACAAACACGATAGGATTCTTCTCTAAACACCAATGATGACTCTGACACCACCATCTCTAGCTGTTTCCACAAAACCAGACTGTACACACAGAACCCAGTGGGGGAATGGTTGAGTAAATATGACCTGACAGTATTACTAAGCAGTTAATTTTTCATAGTAGCATTAAGAAATACTTACCTGGGGACTGGAGAGACAGCCCAAAGGTTAAGAGTACTGACTGCTCTTCCAGAGGTCCTGAGTTCAATTCCCAGCAACCACATGGTGACTCACAGCCATCTGTAATGAGATCTGGTGCCCTCTGCCGGCCTGCAGGCATACATGCAGATAGAGCATTCATACCTTAGAGAACAAAAAAAAAACAAGAAAAAACCCATAAAGTTACATACTTATCTGCCCAGTTAAATCAGAATGTATAATTGCATATAACCATGGGAATTGCTAGCCTGTAAATGGGAGAAATGTGGTCAGATGACAATCTAGGTTTTCTAAGTTAGGATTTTTGGAATACTTAGTCACTTTATAGCATTTTTAGTGCTGTCTTTGTGATCTGTCTGTGTTCACTCTCCCTCATATTCTTGGGCACCACTTTTACGCTGGTGTGCTCAATGTTTCGATGTTCCTCCACATGACGTGCGCCCCAAAGAGGTGAGAGGAAACATATTCTCAGAGTCCCTGAGGTCCTGTGCACGCTTTGTGGAGAGGAGGCCTTTCCCTTTTCCTGCCCAGCTCCCAAGAACGACCACTTGTCCTGAGTGGAGCTGCCGGGTGACAGTGGCTTGGTGCTCGGCATTCATCACCTCCTTTCTCTCCCACAGTCGGATCTGTTGCAATGTCTCCAGTACCAGTTTTATCAGGTATGTGGATCTGGCTGACCCTCTGGGCCCTGGCTAGCATGGCAGACAGGGCGACCACCTCCCTTCTCTGGGAAGCCATTTGTGCTGAGTATTGGCTGAGGGCCCCTATAAAGCTGTTGGGGAAGCCACTATCTATCCTGCACCAGCCCCGACACCAAATATTCCCGCTGCTTTAACAGTCCCCAAGAGTGTAACCAACCCTGATGCCTCTGTTCTCAACCTTAAAGCAGGGTCCTCCTGGCTTGTGACTGTCTCCAGGCAGCCTGGCTTTTGTAGCATTCCGCTGAGGGGACAGTTGGGCTTGCTTCTTGGTGGGCACATCTCAACACTGCCTCTGCTTTCAGATCCCTGGGACCTGCCTGCTCCCAGAGGTGACAGAGCAAGATCAAGGAAGGATCTGCGTGGTCATCGACCTGGATGAAACCCTTGTGCATAGTTCCTTTAAGGTAAGTCAGCATATGGTCGGTCCCTCCTTCCCTAGGACATGTCTGAGCCACACAGCAGGTGCTGCGAGGTGGTCTGCAGGGGAAGACAGGAGTGATGGAGGGAAGGAGTCAGGCTACCCTGGAGTCACATATCCAGAGGCCATACTGAAGAGTGTTGAGACCCTCCATGCACACGCGCATGCACTCACTCACTACCTATATGCAGTGTCTGTCTCCACTTAGCATGGAAAAGCACTTCTGCTTTTCTTACCGGTATGTTTCTTAACGTAAGAAAGCCTTAAATTGGATACAGAGGCCCTTATACCATCCCAGCACTTGGGAAATGGAGGCAGGAAAATCACAAGATCCAGGATAACCTGCACTGCAGTCAGAGCCTGTCTTGAGAAAGTTAGGCATATGGTGCCTGTGAGTCCTTTGCTCGTGGGAACATGAATTAGAGGCTAGCCTGGGTTGTGTAACAAGAGCCTGTCTCAAAGTTAAAGCCCTGAAACTCATCTCTGGTGGAGTTGGGCAGGTAGGACAGACGAGGGGGCACCGAGGAGCAGGGAAAACCAGATCAGGAGGGGCTAATTCATCCTGTGCTGGCTGAGACCTGCTTAGTGGGCTGTCCAGGGGTGGTGGGAGCTTCCTGTCTGCTGCCTGCTGATGCCATTATCTTCTGCTTTCCAGCCAATCAACAACGCTGACTTCATAGTGCCTGTAGAGATTGAGGGGACCACTCACCAGGTGAGCTGTCTACCAGGCCACACCAGCCTCAAAGGGGAAATCACCTTAGTGACCTATTTATTACCTTTCCTTCTCTGCAGCCTCTCCCGTTTACTAGTGGTTGCTACTCTAGACTCTTGTCCTACACTGGATTGTAGCCTACACTCTGCTTTCTCTTTGTAGTCAGACGTAAGAACTGTCGGGTTTTTTTTTTTTAAACAGTCTATTTAATCCTGACTGTTCTGGAACTTGCTGTGTAGACCAGGCTAGCCTCATAACTGACCTGCAACTACCTCTGAAATGCTGGAATTAAAGGCGTGTGCCACTATGCCCAGCCTGTTTAAATTTTTAAATAGTAGTCACTATCCATCGTTTTTTTTTTCTTTTTTTTAATTGTGTTTGTGTGTTTCACATTGATGTTTTGCCTGAATGTGTGTCTTTGTGAGGGTTGTGAGCTGTGTGTGGGTGCTGGGAATTGAACTCTTAGCCTCTGAACCATCTCTCTAGCTCCTATACCTGTCACTCTTGTTTGTTTTTTGTCTTTTGAGACAGGGTTCGTCTATGTAGCCTTGACTGTCCTGGAACTCACCCTGTAGACCAGGCTGTCCTTGAACTCACAGTCACCTGCCCCTGCCTCCCGAGTGCTGTGATTAAAGGTGTGCACCACCACCTCCCGGTTTACTTTTTTTCTTAATTCCTTGGTAATGGTGTCTGCCTGTAAGAGGCAGGAAACCAAGAGCGCTATTCCCCACTTAGAGGCTTCCTCCCTGCCGCCCCTGCTTGTCCTGTAGGACCTTCCCTGACTTCCTGTCCTCTGGGTTTTCACACTGGGTTCTGTAAGTGCTCAGGTACACGTGTACCCAAGTTGTAGCCATGCGTATCCAGCTCTGTCTGGGGCCAAGGATCATGTAGCATTGGTGCCAAGAGACCACATGCTCAAAATTGTTGTTTAGAGGGCCTGCTGGCTGGCCTGAGGGCCGGGGACTGTTGGTACAGATGTCACAGCAGATGTGATGCCTGCTGTCACAGATGGTCCCATAGTTACTCACAGGCAAAGTGCAGCTCGAGGCTTCTCGGGTTTGCCATCATACTCTGTCTCCCTTTTCAGGCTCTCTGTACCACAGCCGCGAAGCCGTGGACTCTGCTAGGCCCAGCATCCCTTGCAGTCTAGTTGAGGAAATAAGAATGTACAGAGTTCATGGGTCATGCCTTCAAATAGGCAAATATGTGCAGGGGACTTGTGGGTAATAGAGGCGTGAACTAAAGAGTAATGGAATTTAAGTGGAGGAGAACTGCCTGTCCAGTGTGGATCTGAGAGGTTATGTTTGATGAGTAACCATTGAGGAAGGGGTTTGTTTGTGAAGTTAAGGAGTAGCAGGGTGATTAGGGCAATTTGTGGTTGTAAGAAGGGTTCCTGCTGCTAAACTGGGAGAAGTCTCCTAGTGAATTGGTGGCTAATTAGGCCCGGGGAGACATTGTGGCAGGCCACACTGTTCTGGATGACATTGACAAGGAGCTCTCAGGAAATGGCCCTAAGGAGCGCTTGTGTAGGCTGAAGGTGGGAAGCAGTAGATCATGCACTGGGCATGAGCAGCTGGAGAACCTGTCAGCGATGCGGGCATGGTCCTCCACCGTGTGCCCTTCTCTGTGGTGTTCACAGAAGCCCTGTGAGGACGTATGTTCGGGGAAATATCAGGGTTCTTGCACAGCACAGCGTCCTGCAGGGAGCCAGTTCAGAAGTCGTTGTGAAGGCTGTGGCTGGATTCAAGTAATCCAGGATAGGCTGTTTCCATGTGTGAGGCCTATTCTTGATTACTTGTTTCTGGAGGCAGCTAATGTTCACCCGGAATGAAGATGGCTCCTGGGACGTGGTATGCATTCCTTCCTGGTAGTTTAGAATTGAGCCTGTTGAGCCAGCAGAAACCTGGTAGAACCATGCTTGGTGGGCAGAGGTTCCCAGGGCCTTGGCACGGGTCCTGGCCCTGATGGCTTTTTCTGTCAGTGGGAAGGACTGGCCTTGTGGGTACCTCCAGCCATCCTCTCTGCCTCCCTAGGTGTATGTGCTCAAGAGGCCTTATGTTGACGAGTTCCTGAGACGCATGGGGGAGCTCTTTGAATGTGTTCTCTTCACTGCCAGCCTGGCCAAGGTACCGGACAGCGGGGTGGGAGGGAAGATATGCCACCCATGGGGGACCCAGCACCACATCCAAGCTAAGGCTTCTTTTGTTCTTCCAGTATGCCGACCCCGTGACAGACCTCCTAGACCAGTGTGGGGTGTTCCGGGCCCGCCTGTTCCGGGAGTCTTGTGTGTTCCACCAGGGCTGCTACGTCAAGGATCTCAGCCGCCTGGGCAGGGACCTGAGGAAGACCCTCATCCTGGACAACTCACCTGCGTCTTACATCTTCCACCCGGAGAATGCAGTGAGTGGTCCAGACAGGCCTAAGGGCCTCAGGCTGGGATGAGGGGCTTCACCAGAGTGCACTACCTCAGTGTGGCCCAGCAGCCTTCGGTGGCTGCGGCAAGGGAAGGACAAACAGATTAACCTCACCTTCTCCCTACCGCAGGTGCCCGTGCAGTCCTGGTTTGATGACATGGCAGATACAGAGTTGCTGAACCTCATTCCAATCTTTGAGGAGTTGAGTGGAGCAGATGATGTCTACACCAGCCTTGGGCAGCTGCGGGCCCCTTAGCCTTCTTGCTTCCAAGAAACGGCCATCCCAGTAGGGGACTTTGCTACACTGTGCCTTTCTGATCAGCCTGGCTGACCTAGCCGAGCAGGAGCTGGAGCGCTTGCCCGAGAGGGTCTGGACGTCATTGGAAAATGATGACAGGATCTTTAGGGCAGCTTAGATGCAGAGCAGGCAAATTGGAGCTGTCCAGAGCTGTCTGCACCCAGTGTGTGGTTCCGGGAGAGAGAGAATGTGTGCATGTGTGAGTGTGCCCATATGGTGAACTATGGCCCTGGGTGTCCAGTGTCCAGTAGGAAGAGAGGCTGAAAGATCAAGACTCAACCCAAGTCCTCTGTCTCCTTTCCTACTGACCTGTGAGTTGTCAAGCTTTACAGTGATGACAGCTGTTGTAGGCTCCCTTGCCAAACCATGGCCTTTCCTCAGTTTCACAAGGCCTGTGTCAAGGAGAAAGAAGCCAGAGGCTGCCTTGATGCCCCAGACACACACCCTTCTGAAAACGTAAAATATTAGCCAGCAACTGCAGACATCCCAGGGACGATGAGAACGTGTTTGCAGAACCAGTGCTCAAAATCACCAGATCCTGTGCAAACCCCCCCCCCCCCAATCTGGCTCCAGCAGAGTGCCTGCCACCATGGGCCCTGCTGTGTCTGCCCGGGCTCCAGCACCAAGCCAGCCTTCGCACTCCCTACCCATAGTCTTTAACTCCCATGGGGAAGGAGGTCTTCTCCCTCCCCTGGAAAAGGACACAGAACTGACTTCTGTTCTTTCTACTCTTTTTAAAATTCTCTTTATAAACATGGAGTTGGGCCTGGTTTGTGTCCAGCTGAGCTGCAGTCCGGGGCCTGAGACGCGTACGGGAGGTGCTAGGGTACAGGGAAGCTAATGTGCCAGCGGACTGCGCCTCCCTGACTAGATCTGGGAGTGCTGGTGCAAGGACATTAGCCCCAAAGGACAGAGAGGGCTGCCAGGCTGCCCCAGCCCTCCTGCTGCCCAGGCAGGGCTCTTTCGTATTGTGTCTTCCTTTTGGTCCTGGTTGTCTTGTCTGATCTAACTTTATCCCTTTCTGGCTGTTTCTCTTCCTCTCCAGGGCCTTGGGAGAACTACTTTCCCAGGACTGAGGGGTTGCAGGTCTTGTTGTCATTGCTTTGCCAAATGGGTAAATGCCTCCTGCCTCCGGTGGTAACTAGACTGAGTGAGGTCCTCACCGCCCTGCACTCGGGGTCTCTCAAGTTCTCAGTCTTACAGGCTTTAACAAAGAGTGGCAGGATTTCCCCTGGTGGAGACAAAGGGAAATGCTGCTGCTCTCACTTGGAGCACAAGGGGCCCCTGAGGCACCACCTCAGCAATACTGCCTTAATTGAGTCCCGCCCCCAGGGTTGGGTCAGGTCCCCTCCCCCCTTGGTGTTCCTAGCCCTAGCTCTCTGCTTTTCCTGGAGGCAGGTGCCAGCACCTGTGAATTGTTTCAGGTGCAGTCTCCGCCCACTCAGGAGCCTTGCAATATTGTTTCCTTTCCGTGTACTAGATCCTGCCTCGGGAACTAGCAGGTCTCAACAAAGCCTGGTGGTGGGGCTTGGTGTCCTGTCAGATAAGTGTCTGGCATCCTTCTAGCGTTGTGCAGTCTTCCTCCTTAGTCCAAGGCTGTGGAGCCTTGTCTTTCATGTATGGACAGAGCAGGACAGACTCCCGAGTTCATGTCATTTCCCACAGCATTATCTGCTGGTGCCTGTGGGGTCCTGCCAAGAGACGGGAGAGCACTCCAGGTGCTAGCCAGGAATACGGGAGCTTGGTTGTGGCTTCAGATCTTACTGCCACCCAAATATTGCAGGAGGGGGTCCTCTTGCAAGGCCTGCTCTGAGGACTAGTCCTGACTAAGCAATAAGAGCCTCAGAGTTGAATTCCAAGGCCCCTTTCTGCCTTGGTCTGCATCTCCATGTTTTAACCTCCTAGAGGAGGAGCCTGTGCTCCGTCCTTGCTGTCGGGCATGTGCAAGGACTGGATGTGATCCACAACCAAAACCCAGAGTGGCTTCATGGAGGAGTCCTGCTGCTTCTGCAGGAAGCCCGGCTTTCTGGGCCCTTCTGCCACCAGAATCCCTTCCCCCACCTGTAGTCTGCTACAGAGATGCCAACCCCTCTTTCCAAACCTAGAGGACCTGTCCTGCTTGCTACTAGCTCATGTCTTAGAGGCAAGTGGTGGTGGTTTGGGGGTGCCACTCGGAGAACTCAGGCAGGCAGAGAGCAGGCATGGCTGGGCAGGAACTAGCTCATCTGTGGCCGGCTTGCCACTAGCCTTCCCTTTGCAGACTAGTCTGCAGGAACCTGAATTAGACCACCTGCCCTGGTGTCCGCACCCACTCGAGCCACGCCAGCAATGTACCCAGCTGTCAGGGTCAGCTCTTTAAGGTGCCTCTTCAGGGACACAGTGTGTCTCTCTGGTTGGGCTTCTAAATCAAAAGCCTGATGTTCGTGTCCCTCTTATAGGGGGAGCTTTGGACACAGGACCAGTTTGATAAAGGGCCAGGTAAGGGTTTCCACTCTGCACATTGTAGAGGGGACACTGTAGGCCCATGGGTCCCTAATTAAAGAGGTTGAGTGAATTTGCCTTCATTTAACCAGGGATCTGTTTCATTCCCTCCTGCCTCCCAAAGATTTCTGTGTAATTGTATAGCCCCTTCTGTTAACAGTGGCTCAGAAAGCTTCGTACTAAAAGCATGGGGCTGTCAGGGCAACCGTTCCTTGGGAAATGGATCCTGAGTGATTCCCTGCCCTGCCCTGTTCCAGAGGCCTCTTAACAGTGCCAGTGCAGCCCGATCGTGGATGTTCTGCATCCAGCGTGTCAACCTGACTAACTGTATGAGAACGGTTAGCCTGTTTTCTCCTTTAGGCTACTTAGCCACAGTTACTTTTCAGTTCCTTTTTTTTTTTTTAATGCCTTACCTTTGTCTTTTTGTTTCAGACAGGGTTTCATGAGTCCAGGCAGGTGTTAGAACTTACTGTTTAGCCAAGGATGATCTTGAACTTGTGATCTCTGCCTCCACCTCCTGAGTGCTGGCTCATGTGGTGCTGGTGACATCCAGGACTGCATTCGTGTCAGACAAGCACTACCAACTGAGCTACACCTCCAGCTCCCCTTTCCTTTTTAGAAAACATCGGTAGTAAAGACGTCAGGGAGAAGAGGTGACAAGTCTGGCCAGCTGTTCTGCCTACCCCGCTAGTACAGAGTCAGCTCCTGAGACAGCCTCTCTCAGGCTGGTGATGTTCTTTGCCTGTAATTACCCCCAGAATTGCCTATTTCCTCTTTCAAAAGATGCCATTTGGAGGGGAGGGGTCTGCTTCCCACTGTGACTGGGTTATGGGATCCTTGACCACCTTGCTTATGATTTGATACATTTATTGTATTCAAAAACTTGAAATGTAGGATGCCATTAAGAGTCTGTTTATATTTTTGGAATATTTGTATTACTTACAATTAGTTAATAAAGGCTGGTTTTAAAACCTTTGAAAGAGTGGGGACTGCTGCCTCCCTGGCCACCGCCACCCCTGTCACTCTGGGCATTGTCCTTCCCGTATGAAGCTGTAGCATCCAGCAGGACGTGCACTGGCTTTCTGATCAAGGTTGCAGAAGTTGGGCTGCATTAGCTCTTCTCTGGCCTGAGGGGACCAACTCCATCATCCCAAGTGCTTGTTAAGCATGTGCTTGGTGTCCTGTTGACTGCTGGGCATAAACTGAAGCCCTAGGGAAACTGGAGGCCTGATGTTCCTGTGTTCACTCTTGAAGCTGCCAAACCAGGAGCCCTGAGATTCAGACCCCAGCATGGTTCCCTGGTGCACAATAGGATGGCAAAGACACCAAGAAACAAAGCCTTCCTGACACTGAAGAGCTCTGAAAAACACCAGAGCCATCTCGGACCCCCGCCACCTTGAAAGTCCAGCCAGTCTTCTGCCGTCGGCATAATGCGCTGATATTACAATATGGCAGATTTCATATCCTCCCTCTCTGAATTATTGATGGGCAGTGCACTCTTTAAAAAAAAATCAATAGACCAGGGTGTGGAGCTCTGAAGTCTGCTCTTGTTTTCGCTGTTTTGAATAGGAGCAGATACAGCTTTCTCCTCTGGTTTGAATAAGTCAAGCCCAGGGCTAGGTTGGCTCTGATTGGCCAGAGCTAGGAAAATGTGGTTATGATGCAAACACAAGCAAATATAACCCGGTGTCTGTGCGGCCATTGCTGAACTGAGGCTGCTTTGGGATCGCTCATCAGTTCTTCGCCTGCTGCTTGCCAGAAAACTGAGGACGGAGAGGGCGAGGTAGGTCTATTGCATGTGTACTTTTCAGTGGAACGCTGAGTCGAGGCAGAAAGTGGAGGAGCTTGCTTTGGTTTTGTCTTCTGGGATGAAGCTTTTGAAAGTACCTGTAGAGCCCACTGAACAACTTGAACACATTCTCAGGGCAGGAGGAGGAAGGGTGGGGGAAGAGGGAGAGAAAAGAACCCCCATCTGTTCCTCCGTGGGGCAAGAGAGAAGTTTAAAACCCCAGTAGATTACAAGCCACTAGCTTTGTAACTTGGAATCCCCAAACCACACCCTGTGCACATGATCTTCAAAGCCCTGGAGGACCCTGAAGAGCAGATATTTGGACTTGGGAAGACAGAGACCCAGCTTTGGGAGACTTTGATGTGGTGGGTGGATTTTATTGGGCTTTCTGGGTGTGGCAGCTCCTGAATCGTGGGTCCCTAGTCACTCAGTCCCTGGATTTTGAAGTTGGTAGGAGACATGGGACTGTATTGGCTCTGAGACAGGTGTTAATGCCAGTTGATTAGGCTTTACCAGGTTAACTGGGAACATAATTGGTTCTGGGTCCCTTTCCTGAGGGGGTCATGCATTTGACTTAAAAGTCAAAGTCTAGGACCTGAAGAAAAGCTGGGTATTTCCTGGTGCTTCTGGGCAGCGCAGGGTGGGGCAGCACCACTTATCAAATTAAGTCCTCCAAACACTGGCGGTTCCGCACCATAGCTCTGCTTTCGTCCTCCACGGCTGCGCACAAAGGACCGGCCTCTTTGGTGGTGATGGCACATCCTCTCCAAACCTGGTTTTAGCCATCCAGGCTGAAGAAAAAAAGTGATCAGACTTTGATCTACCATGTGAGCTACACCCCATCCCTAGACAATGCTACTCTTAACCAGCCCAGTATATCATCAAATAGCAAACATCCATATGACCCCCAGGCAGTCTGCTTTTTAATCTCTCATAAACCCACCCATCCCATCCCTGCTTTGAGTCTTAGGAGAAACCAAGCTAGCAGTTATTTGGCACACTGCCAGAGCGCAACCTCTTTGAGAGCAGGACTTGAGAGGAGGCAGGCACCCAAAGCTGCCCAAAGCCCGCCCTGTGTGTTAACCAAGCTACATTCTGACCCGAGAAAGGATCCCGTGGTCTTCGTATACCACTTATTCCCCTCCAGCCTTACTCAGCCCTGTGGGTGCTGGAAACCTCTACGTTCACTGAGGACAGGTCTTCCAGAGAAGCTGGGCTATGGGCAAGGCCTCCCCCACCCCCCTTGGCACCTCCTGGGCCTTCTGTCCCAGCCTCTGTCGTTCTGCTTTCCCTTTTTTTCTGCAAGATCAGCTAATGTAAGAGTTATGACACAGGGATGTTACCGTGCTAGGACAGTTTACAGAATCAAAAATAAAAGCCAAGAGCAGGTGGGGTGACAAGGTCTTGCCAAGAACCAGGGAAGAGGAGCAGAAGGACTAGGAGGACGTGCCTTCATTCAGAAATAATTTCTCACTGGGTTCCCTTGCTGTGAGCCACTGAACTTAGTTTTGGAGAAGGGTAGAAGGCACAAAAAGGCTAAAACATGGGCTTTTACGATCAGATATGAAAATAAAAGGTATGGAGCTGGGTCTAGTGGTAGAAGCCTGTAATCCCAGCAGTGAAGTCAGGAGGCTGAGGCAGAAGGAGCCTTACCAGCCTGGGCCGTGTGGAGAGACCTTGTGTTAATAAAAAAAATGAAACAGAAAAGCTCAGATGCAGATCTTATTCTAGTGTGTGCCCATGGTGGGCAAGTTATTTAATAACTAAAACCTCTTTAAACCTCATTTGATTATTTTGTTTTTGGGGTTCCCCCCGCTTGGATTTTCAAGATGGTTTCTCTGTGTAGTTTTGTAGACCAGACTGGCCTCAAACTCTCAGAGATCCACCTGCCTCTGCCTCCCGAGTGCTGGGATTAAAGGTGTGCGCCACCACTGTCCAGCTTAATTAAACCTCATTTGTACTAGAAGATGACAGGGCCGAGGCCTGTTTGCAAAGTGAATCAACACAGGCTTGACATTGATCACTCTCAGGAGTCTGTGCTGCCCTGCCCCCACAGAGACAGGAATGCTGCTCTTCTAGAGAGCCTGACTGATTCAGGTGGCTCCCAATCACCTGCAGGTCCAGCTTCGGGGAATCTAACACCTTTGGACTCCCAAGGGCACCCATAGTCCCAAGCACACACCCACTAACCACATAATTAAAACAAAACATATTGCTGTCAGCCAGAGCTCTCTCAAACAGGAAGTAGCAGGTGGAAACAAACCTTTGGGCTAGGGGCTGCCCAGGCAGGTCACTGTGTGAACTTGAACTACCATGGTGAGATGGTGGGGGTGGGGGGGGATATACCAAAACGACATGCAGTGAGATGGCTGAGGAGACAGGAAGGCTTAGGAAAAGTGGCGGGTCCCTGTCCACTGTGAGGGGCGTCACCTTCCATCTGTGATACTTCAGTTCCAGGAACACAAACTATGTCTCTGAGCAGTGCCTTCAGGGCTGTGGGCAATGACCCTGGGATCATCACCTGGAGAATTGAGGTGAGTCAAATGGAGGTCACACCCACCCTGACTGCTGGGATGCAAGCAGTGGCCACTGAGGGTTAGCATCAAGGGCCGGTTCCCCCAGCCCTGTGCTCAGTGCAGGTCCCCAAGCAGAACCAAGTCAGCGTCTCTGAAAGACAGGCCCCTTACCCAGAGATTCTTGGTGCCTGGTCAGAGGAACGGAACACATCATTGTCAGAACACTGGTCCCTTACCAGCTTTGGGGGTGGGGGCATGCCGAATTGATGGCCACTGCTCATCCCTTGACCCCGTGGACTTGGTCTCCTCTGGGTGGCTCTGACTCTGGTCTGGGTGCACCTACCAGACAGCAGGACACACCCATCTCTACCTAGTCAGCTGCAGCTACCAGACAGCAGGACACGCCCATCTCTACCTAGTCAGTTGCAGCAGCCTGAACACCACAAGTAACACTTCCTTTCACCCTGCTCAATTCCAACGTGAGTCGCCGCTTTCTGGGCAAGCCTCTAGAGACTTGTGGGAAGCCCCGTCTACTCCCAGTGTTAAAGGCTCCCCCCATTTACCTCAAAATAAATAGGAAGGGCTGCCCACCTGGTATGTGCAGCCAAGACTGGACCTGAGTGTAAGATCTGGGACCCACATGGTGGAGGAAGAGAATGGATTCTTTCAAGTGTCTCTGACCTTCACACGTAAAGTGTGGCTCTTGGACACACCTGATAGATAAACGTAAAAAAATGGGGGAGGGGGGATAGGCACTAAAAAGTTATATATCTAATCTTTTCACACTTACATCCAGATTTTACCTAGAACACACACAAATATGGCTACAGGCTTGCCTTACTTGGGAAGACTGTCATTTCCATGTGAGGCTGTGCAAATGGCCCTCCTAGGATGAGCACATCAGGGCCCCAGCTCAGGCTCTGAATGCAAGACGAGACACTCAGCCTCAGTATGGCAGGACGGTGGTTTTCTCTGTGCTGCCAGCCCCCTTCCTGGTCAGCTTTCCAGAATTCCTTTGGGTAGCCTGGCGGCTCTAGGTGGTCAGTTGGGAGCAAAGGGTTGAACACACCGCACCACACTGCACTGCCCCGTCAGGATTGCCCAGAGGAAGGAGGGCTCTCACACCAACTCTTTCCCTTTGCACGGGCTTCAGGGGGCTCACAGGCCTTTCTAGAGTACGGGGTAGTGGGGATGAGACTTAAGTAGGACGCAGGAAGGACACAGGAAAGGACAGACACCACAACAGATTCTGAACCAGAGTGATTAGGGGAGAGGCCCCAGCAGCAGTCCTGTGCTGTGCTGGCCCCTGCCCTGTAAGGCTGTGGAGACAGCGCCGCCTCTACCGTGCCCGCCCAGGGAGAGAGCGGAGGGAGGCTGTGGGGAAAGCAGGAGGCAGGACAGCTGCATACTCTTCTGATCCTTCTAGAAAATGGAGCTGGTGCTGGTGCCTCTGAGTGCTCATGGCAGCTTCTACGAGGGAGACTGCTACATCATTCTCTCGGTGAGCCCGTCTTCCACAGCCAATATTCCTGCCTCAGCAGGCAGTTCCCAGGCTGTTGAAAGTTCTGACTGTGAGAGGTGTGGTGTTCCCGGTGTCTCTAGATTCCTCCTGGTGCCATGCAGGGCCTCAAGCTGACTGAGAATTGCCACTACCAGGCCTGGGGTTGTGACTGTGCATCAGAGGATGGGCTTAAACCCCCCATCCCCAGATGGACAGGCAGACACACACACACACACACACACACACACACACACACACACACACACAGAGCACCTCCCAAGCTGCACACTAAAGTGTTCTGAGGAAGGCCAGACAAATGCACAGCCTGTGAGCTAGGTAGGATAGATAGGAATTTCTATTGCTGTGGTAAATACAGATATGTTATTTCTTCACACAGCGTGTAATCCACCATGGAGAGAAGGCAGGACGGGAGAGAGAGGCAGGGACGGGGAGGCAGGAACTGAAGCAGACCACAGAGGAATGCTGGTTACTGGCTTGCTGTCTTGTGGTTTTTGTGTTTGTCTCCCATGACCACCTGTCAGGATTGGCACCACCCACAGTGGTCTGGGCCTTCCCAGTCAATCACCAATCAGGAGACTGCCCTACAGACTTGCCTACAGGCAGTGTGATGGATGCAATTTCTCAATCACTGTTCTTCCTAGGTGACTCCAGCTTGTGTCAAGTAGACAAAGAACTAGGCAGGACAAGCAGCACATGCCTATAATCACAGCACTTGTCGGGGTGAAACGGAAGGTTCTGAGTTTAGGGACAGACTCAGAAACTTTGAGCTAGGTTGGGCTACACAATAACCTGTTTTTTAAAAAATCTTTTAAAAAAGTGTTCGTTCTCGGGAGGCAGAGGCAGGTGGATCTCTGTGAGTTCGAGACCAAGCCTGGTCTAAAGAGTGAGTTCCAGGACAATCTCCAAAACAATACAGAGAAACCCTGTCTCGAAAAACCAAAAAAAAAAAAAAAAAAAAGTGTTCGTTCTAATGGAAGAAATAATACTTCACTTGGGTAGTGCTGGCAGCTGGACCGTTGTGTGACCAAGCTGCAATACACTCTAGGAACAATCTAGCAGCATCCCCAAATGTGGGGAAGCAGGCCTGCGAAAGGGATGGGCCAGTTCTAAGGGCTGCTTGTGCGAAGGAAGGCATGTTGGGTGTTTTCACATCGGGGAAATCAGCAGAACAGAGGTGAGCATGGGGCTCACCTCACTCTGGCTACATCCTAGACCCGGAGAGTGGGCAGCCTCCTCTGCCAGAACATTCACTTTTGGATCGGGAAGGACTCCTCCCAGGACGAGCAGAGCTGTGCAGCCATCTATACCACACAGCTGGATGACTACCTGGGAGGCAGTCCCGTGCAGCACCGCGAGGTCCAGTACCACGAGTCTGACACCTTCCGAGGCTACTTCAAGCAGGGCATCATGTGAGTGGCTATGCACGGAGATGGATACAGCCATTTCCGAGAGAGGAAACTAGAGTCGGTAGCCTTTGAAGAGGTAACCTGAGAGCTGCAAAGCTAATCAGTCACGGGCACTGGCCACTTGTCCCCATCAGAGTGGGGTGGGGCCGAGTTCTGTGAGGGCTGTGAGACACGGAGCCTTGCACCTGCTTGAGGGAGTGGGAACCTGCACTGCATGCTGGAGCATAACTGGGGCTGCTAAGGTGAACCCCATTTCTCAGAACACTAAACCCCTGACACACCCAGGGCCCCGACGGCCCACGATCCAGAGTGTTCCTGACAGCGTGTTAGTGGGAGGCGGCTGCGGCTAATGTAGGTGTCCATCACAGAGAGACGGTGTGTCCTGGCAACCGCAGATCATGTGTGCACCTGGCACATACAAGCAAAGACAGACTGATACACACACCAACATGTCAACTCCTTGTTTTATAAACGCGTGCACACGGGCAATCGGACTGGATTGAAGAAGGGACATTAAACCGTCACAATAGGTGTGGCAGGGAAAGTTCTGGGAGGTTGCAAGTGGGTGCAGGAACACACAGACGACACGAGGGGTGTGACACACGGCTGTAGTCCAAACTTGGGGTTCCCGCTGTCCCAGCACCGCCCTTCTGGTACTTGGGACTTCTCATTATAATATCTCAGCTCAAATGTCCCTTCAGAAAGACAGCTCTGACCTCTAGTCACCAAACTGACCCTTGGGGCAGCGGATGCACGTCTGCATTTACTTTGTACATTTGTTATTATAAGTCGCGTGGGGTAGAGTCTGGTGTCTGTGTTATTACTGTATTTAATTCACAACAGTCTCCCCAGAACCTAGCACGTAAGCAGGCAACCAACAGGTAACTGGATTACTATTCCCACAGTTACAAAAGGGGGGGCGTGGCCTCTGGGATGAAGCATGCAGAGACCAACACCTACGATGTGAAGCGGTTGCTACATGTGAAAGGGAAAAGAAACATCAGGGCCACTGAGGTGAGTCCTAGCCACTGACGGTCCCGGGCCGGGTGCTCCGGCTCCAGCGCCTAAGACCACCCTCTAAACGGCACCGACCTTTCCCATACAGGTGGACATGAGCTGGGACAGTTTTAACCGAGGTGATGTCTTCTTGCTGGACCTTGGGATGGTTATTGTCCAGTGGAATGGCCCGGAGAGCAACAGCGGGGAGCGACTCAAGGTCTCCCTCTCCCTCACCTCCTCCAGGCCTAGAGCTGGGCTCTTTGGGAGCCTTTGCCCCTGGTCTTCTATACTGGCTGACCCCCAAGATTCCAGGTGGACCCTGCTTTAGAGTAGATCACATCTTGCAGGCAGGCCAAGGGTGTGTCTCACCTGGGGTCTCACCCCTGACCCTGGGACTCCTCAACATCGGGGGTAATGTGTCTGCAATCCTGGTGGCTCCCAGTGAAACCATCTGGAAGGAAAGGGGACCAAGTGAGCTGAGTACTTCCCTGGACTTCCCTGGCAGGCTATGCTTCTGGCAAAGGACATTCGGGACAGGGAGCGAGGGGGCCGTGCTGAGATCGGAGTGATTGAGGGAGACAAAGAGGCGGCCAGCCCAGAGCTCATGACAGTCCTTCAGGACACCCTCGGTCGACGCTCCATGGTCAAGCCCGCACTTCCTGATGAGATCATGGACCAGCAGCAGAAGTCAAACGTTATGTTGTATCAGTGAGTATTTAAACCTGGCTGTGGGCTGGAGGCTGGGGGTGGGGAGATGTCCCCTACAAGACCCAGCACTCAGCTTGGGTGAGGCATCTACCTTTGCTCCTGGGCCATCCTTTTTAAATGTGTCTCCTATAAGCAGCTCAGAAACAGCCCCTCTCAAGGGGGCAGATATCTGTTCTTGTTAGAGTCTCCTGACCTCTGGATGAGACTCTGGTGTAACCAAGCGTAGGAATGTGGATGGGACAGAGTTTGGGAGAGACACAATCACCTCCAGAGAAGAGAGTCTTCCTCTCTGAATTCAAGCTGTGTCTGTCTCAAAGAGTCAGGCTCTATCCAGCAACGCTACACACAGCATTACGCTAGCTACAGGATGCTCTATGGAGAGAAGGTACAGGCTAATCTCCCTTCTTCACCAGTGTCTCTGATGCAGCTGGGCAGCTGGCAATCACAGAGGTGGCAACGAGGCCTCTGGTCCAGGACCTGCTGAGCCATGATGTAAGTAGAACTGAAGGGGGTTTTGCCTGGGGAAGCCAGAAGTAACTCTATCCTCTATCTCAAGTATCGGTGACCATGCTTATCCCTGGCTGATTCAGGACTGCTACATCCTGGACCAAAGTGGAGCCAAGATCTACGTGTGGAAAGGCAAAGGAGCCACAAAAGTTGAGAAACAGGCAGCTATGTCCAAAGCCCTGGTAGGAGCTGTAAATGTGTGAGACCACCCAAATATTCTGTCACTGTAGAATATTCAGGCACTGAGCACAGAACAGTGATAAATATGAACTTCAAAGTAAACAGACCAACTGGGATACAATTTCAGGATTTACTTTTTCCAGCTGCAGGTTCTGAGCAAGACCCCTGAGCTTCAGCTCCCGATATTCAACAGGGTTAATCCCTGTCTCCCAGAACTGCTGGAAGATAAAACCCATTTGTGTCAGGAGGTGGTGGTTCAAGCCTTTAACTCCAGCACAGGGTTTCTCTGTATTGCTTTGAAGCCTGTTCTGGAACTCGCTCTGTAGACCAGGCTGGTCTCAAACTCACAGAGATCCATCTGCCTCTGCTTCCCAAGTGCTGGGATTAAAGGCATGCACCAACGCCTGGCTGGGCAGGACCCTTTTAAAAGGGAACATAGTGAATGTGCACAGGTGGTGCTCTTAGTGGCTGCAGCTGAGGGCGTATCCTGTCAGAACCCAAAGGGCAGGCCAGTACAGATGCCCAAATCCTAACAGTCATAACCATGGTAGTCTAATGAAGACACCCCAAAGTGTTCTATCTTTTGATGGCAGTTTACATGAGACCTTAGACAGAAGTGAGATAGAAGTTGGCTATGATTCCCAGGGGCAGGGAGGGGAGACTCCTGCCACCTGACTCCAGAGGAATGATTTACCAGGTTAGCAAGCACTCAGTATATGCCCTGGCTGACATGCTCTTATGTGGGGGGTGGGCCCATAGGAGTTCATCAAGATGAAGGGTTATCCCAGCAGCACCAACGTGGAGACCGTCAACGATGGCGCCGAGTCAGCCATGTTCAAACAGCTGTTCCTGAAATGGTCAGTGAAGGAGCAGACCACAGGCTTGGGGAAAACATTCAGCATTGGAAAGATTGGTGAGATTTCCCCTCGTGTGTGTTCTTCCACCCGGGACCCTAGGAGGAGGCACGAGCGTGTGTGTCCTGCTCACTTGGCTTTTCCTACGTCTTTCTCTGCAGCTAAAGTCTTCCAGGACAAGTTTGATGTGAGCCTCCTACACGCCAAGCCAGAAGTGGCTGCCCAGGAGAGAATGGTGGATGACGGCAATGGGAAGGTTGAGGTGAGGCCAGTGAGGGCAACATTGGCCTCTGGGATGCTCCCACAGTGGAGGGCAGCCTGTCCTGTCTTGGCCTCTGGGATGTTCCCACAGTGGAGGGGGGCAGCCTGTCCTGTCCTGGCCTCTGGGATGCTCCTGCGGTGGAGGAGGGCAGCCTGTCCTATGCTTCTTTCCCTGCACATTTCCGTATGCTCTAGGAGGCTTGGGGTTGGCTGCTTCCCCACAATGCTTCAGGAAAGTGAGAGACACAGTCCCCCAATGGGCTGTCACCTGGGAAACGTATTTAAGTCACCACTCAACCTACAAAGACATAGGCTGGGGGGCTGGAGAGATGGCTCAGAGGTTAAGAGCACTGACTGTACTTCCAGAGGTCTTGAGTTCAATTCCCAGCAACCACATGGTGGCTCACGACCACCTACAATTCAATCTGGTGTGTATGTAATAAATAAATAAATCTTTAAAAAAAAAAGACATAGGCTGTATGATGGGAGGTACTGGACCAGTGTGACCTGTGACCCCCATTCTCAGAATTCAAATCATGCAATGTGATGGGCCTTCAAGGCAGAGAAGACCCTTGGGAGAGGGGGCCCTTGGGATGGATGTTAGCACTTCATCCCCCTTGGGTGCTGTTAAATATTGTCCAGGTCCCTTTAGGTGGAATTGTCTTACAGGATGCCTCCTCTCTGGGTGATGACTGTGTCTCCTCTTGTGCCCAGGTCTGGAGGGTTGAGAACCTGGAGCTGGTCCCTGTGGAACATCAGTGGTATGGCTTCTTCTATGGGGGAGACTGCTATCTGGTTTTCTACACGTACGAGGTGAACGGGAAGCCCCATTACATGTTGTACATCTGGCAGGTAGGCCAGGCAGCTCTCAGGGCTGGATCCAGATGCCCCCTGGCCACTGGGCCAAGGTCCATCACTCCTCTCTCACCACTCAGGGCCGCCACGCCTCACAGGATGAGCTGGCAGCCTCGGCCTACCAGGCCGTGGAGGTAGATCAGCAGTTTGATGGAGCCCCGGTGCAGGTTCGGGTGAGCATGGGGAAGGAGCCACGCCACTTCATGGCCATCTTCAAAGGGAAGCTGGTTATCTATGAGGTGAGGACCGACACACACAACTATACCCGTGCAGGGATGCTCAGGGACGATGAGCCAGGAAGAGCTACCAGACAGGCCGGGGTTGGGTGAGGATGTGTGTGGAGGGGGTACAGGGGGAGGAAGATGACGACCCAGGCTTAGCTTAGATGTAAGGACAAAAGAGGGTTTATTCTGAGACATTCAAGGGAATCTCAAATGCTTAGGGCTTCCATGCTCCTCTCTAGCTAGTGCTCATGCTCTTTCCCAACCAAGCCACATTACCTGCGCAGGCGTAGCAGCCTTGGCTACCCACCCTGCACGCTTCCACCACTGAGCTGCCCTCCCGACTCCTGGCCCAGATGTGCCCCTCTTCCAGTCTAAGGCCTGCTTCTTCTACGGAGCCCTGGCAGAAGCATGGGCAGGCAATGCAGTCACGTGTCGGGTGTCACACGCGTCTGGCATCGAGCCCTTCTCTTGCCGTATAAGCCAGTTCCCCGATTTGCTTCCTCGGGGTTATTCTGAGGTCCGTGAGTGTGGAAGACATCGGTCCTAGCTCCTGGCACAGGGTGACATTTTCACTTGGATCCTTTCCAGCTAGCCTAGGAGATCCAGAGGGGTAAAGAGGATATCCAGTACATCTCGGTCCACAACAACCAGCTCGTGGAAGCTCTGTAGATCTGGCCTCCACTTCTCTTCTCTGTAGGGCGGCACTTCCAGGAAGGGAAACACAGAGCCTGACCCTCCGATAAGACTCTTCCAGATCCAAGGAAATGACAGATCCAATACCAAAGCAGTGGAGGTCTCGGCCTTCGCTTCCTCGCTCAACTCTAACGACGTCTTTCTGCTGCGAACTCAGACGGAACACTACTTGTGGTATGGCAAGGTAAGATGGCTGGTGGGTGCTTGCTCATGCTTGCCCTGGCCCCACCCTCAGCCCTGTCATCGAGGTGAAGGGAGGAGCCTCTCCCAAGTCTTCAGAGGAAGCATCCACATGCTGGTCAGGCCCCCATAGAAACTCAGTCGTGCCAGCCCCCAGAGACATGTGTGCGCTCACATGCATGGATGCTGGGTCAGGGCTCTCCCCCAGGGCAGGACAGGGGCTGACACAAGGACAGCACAAGAAATGCCAGACTGCACACGTACCTTATTTGTTTATTTATTTTTGGTTTTTCAAGACAGGGTTTCTCTGTATTGTTTTTTTCCTGAGACAGGGTTTCTCTGTATTATTTTGGAGGCTGTCGTGGAACGCACTCTGTAGACCAGGCTGGCCTCGAACTCAGAGATCTGCCTGCCTCTGTCTCCCGAGTGCTGGGATTAAAGGCCAGCACCCAGCTTTGTACACGTACTTTAAAAGAGAATTTCAGGTCAAGTATGGCGAAGTGTGACTGTAATCCCAGTACTTGGGAGACTGAGGCAGGAGGATTGGGAGTCTGAGGCAAGATTGCCTGTGTATAGTCAGACCCTATCTAAAAACAAAAGGTGGGGTGGAGGGTGCCCCTCTGATCTCCACACATGTACTCCAGCATGCATGCCTCCATCATAAAGCACATACAACAGTTAATTAGTCCATTAGTTAAATTTTAAAATGGGAAGAAATGAGCATGGTGGCACCAATCTGTAATTCTAGCTACTTGAGAGGTTGATGTGGTGGCATCTCAAGTTCAAGGGCAGCCTGGCATAGGAAGACCAGGGGGGAGGGGAAGAGGGAGGGAAGGGGAAGAAAAAGGAAAAGAAACAAACATTAATGAGGGGGGAGCTAACTAAGAAAAAGCCCGATACCATTGCTAGGGGAATACCATAGTGAGGTGTCACTACACTTCTATCGGGTGACGAAAACCACAAACATAAAATGTGACGCAGGAACTGCAAAATGGGACTCATTTTAGAAAACAGTTTGACAGTTTCTAATAAAATTACACTCACATTTACCACACAATCCAGCAACATTACTCGTGCATATTTACAGCAATAGAATAAACACCGTCTTTAGCGGTTGGGGAGGTGACGAACTCGGTAAAGGGCTTTGCTGTGTCAGCATAGCACCCGGTCCTGACCCCCAGCACCACAAAACCCAAGAGTGGGAGCACCTATTGGTAGCCTGTGCACACACACACATGCATGCATATAAACACATGTATATACACACACATGTACACACACGCACACACACACACAAGATCCCCCCTCTTTAGGGGCTGGAGAGATGGCTCAGGAGACGCCTCTCACACAGGACCTGGGTTTAGTTTCCACACGTGGCTCACAGCCATCTGCAGCCCTTGTTCCAGGGGATCTGATGCCCTCTTTGACCTCCACAGGCACTCACTCATTTTGTACATACATACACGTGAATAAAACACTCATACACATAAAATAAATCTTAAGAAAACCCAACAAACAAAAACCTCTTTACACAAAGAGTTGTACACACTTGTGTGTGACACATTAACTCGTAACCCTCTCAGGTTAGAAGACATCTGGAAAATGGATGAACATAGGAATATTACTCAGCAGTAACACTGAAAGAGCCACTCACACACACAACACAGAAGAGGCTCCAATTCCTACTAAGTGAAAGAAAGTATCCGAACGAACGCTAAGGCCAGATGTCACATGCACTTAAGACAATCTAGAAATGACAGGATTCTTCTTCTTTTTTTTTTTTTTCAAGACAGCGTTTCTCTGTGGCTTTGGAGCCTGTCCTGGAACTTGCTCTCATAGACCAGACTGGCCTCGAACTCCCAGAGATCCACCTGCCTCTACCTCCCGAGTGCTGGGATTAAAGGCGTGCGCCACCACTGCCCATCGATGACAGGATTATTCTAATTGCAGTTGTCATGAGTCTAGGACTCGGGGCTTCACTCCAAAGGGATAGAAAAGTCACTGTAATTGCACTGTGGTACCCAAGTTCTGTTTTTAAGCCTTGTGGAGCCTAACACAGTCCATTTTACTGTTAATTTTTAAAAAGGTGCACGCCTTTAATCCCAGTACTTATAAGGCAGAGGCAGGTGGATCTCTATGATTTTGAGCTAGCCTGGTCTACAGAGTGAGTTCCAGGACAGCCAGGGCTGTTATACAGAGAAACCCCACCTTAAAAATCCCCCACCCCCTAAAATGAAAATGACATGCTAGGCCTGGGGGATATAGTGGTTGCTCCAGAGGTAGAGCATTTGCCACGCATGTGCAAGACCCTAGATTAAATGCTCCAGTATACAATTAGGGGGAAACCATGTGCTGACATTCCAGGTGAAGCTAAAAAAGGCTACTTCTGTCTATGGCCACTGTGGGTTTTGGAACAAGCCTACCCTTTGCCCACATGCCGTCCTCCTCCCTCTCCCCATCCTGAGGCACTGCAGGTCAGAGCTGACCCCATCCGGTTTCAGAAGCCCTGCGTCATCCCCATCAGAGCGTCCTGGGTTTCTAACGCGTCTGCTCTCCCAACCCAGGGATCTAGTGGGGATGAGCGGGCAATGGCCAAGGAGCTGGTGGAGCTTCTCTGTGATGGCAACGCGGACACTGTGGCTGAGGGCCAGGAGCCACCTGAGTTCTGGGAGCTTCTGGGAGGAAAAACACCTTATGCCAATGACAAAAGGTATGTGAACACATCAGCCCTGTATTCTGGGCTCCTCTGGCCTCCTAAGATCCTTCACAGTTTTCAACATGATTTCTGGGCTGGGGACACAGCAAAGTCCTTGTTGTGCAAGCATGCAGACCCAGGTTCCACCCCTCAGAATGCACATTACAAAACAGACAGACAGAAAACAGCTACAGCAACACAGGCCTGCAGCCCTGTTGCTGGGGAGGAGGAGATCCTTCAGACTTGCTGGCCAGATAGCCTTGTCAAATTGACACTGGACTCCAGGCTCTGTGAGAGAGCCTGTCTCCAAAAACGTGGAGAGCTACGGAGGAAGACCCCCAAAGCCACCTGGGTCCTCATATGTACACACACGCACATGCGCATGGTCACCCATGCAATCGACACGATTCCTATGCAGCTGGCCTTGCACATGACTGTATTGCAGGCTGCAGCAAGAGATCCTGGACGTCCAGGTCCGCCTCTTCGAATGTTCCAATAAGACTGGCCGGTTCCTTGTCACTGAGGTCACAGACTTCACCCAGGATGACCTGAACCCAGGTGACGTGATGCTCCTGGACACCTGGGACCAGGTAAGACACAGCCACAGAGTTCAGGACAGCTGGCAAAGACCACAGTTTGGGCCGGTTTCTGTGTGGCTAGTGCTGGACCAACTCACTAAGGTAAACGTCTCCAGTGGTTACCAGAGAGACTGCTTCATGCCACAGTCAGAATAGAATGATGTTTAAAACAATCCGGCTTAGGCCAGACATGGTGGTGCACGCCTTTAATCACAGCACTCAGGTAACAGAGGCAGGCAGATCTCTGAGTTTGATCGAGGCCAGCCTGGTCTACAGAGTGAGTTCCAGGACAGCCAGGGATACACAGAGAAACCCTGTCTCCAAACAACAACAGAACTCACCAGGTATATTAGTTAAGGTTCCTATTGCTGTGAAGAGACACCGTGACCAGTTCGAGGTTCAGTCCATCATCATCATAGCGGGAAGCATGGCGTTGTACAGGCAGACACGGTGCTGGAGAAGGGGCTGAGAGTCCTTACATCTTGACTCAGGCAACAGGAAGCCGGCTGTCTCACTGGGTGTGGCTTGAGCATATAAGAGACCTGAAAGCCCACCTCCACAGTGACACACTTCCTCCAACAGGAACACACCTACTCCAACAAGGCCACACCTCCTAATAGTGCCACTCCCTGGGGGACCCATTTTCTTTCCATATGCTGGCACATGCCTGGAATCTAAGCAGTTAGTAGGTAGAGGCAGGAGGACTCAAAGGTTAAGGCCAGCCAGGGCCGCTAGAAAATGGGCCAGCAAGATGGCCCAGTGAGCAAAGGCGGTTGCCACTAAAGCTGACCACCCGAGTTCAATCCCTAGGACCCACACAGTGGAAGGAGAGAACTGAGTCTTGTAAATTGCCCTCTGACTTCCACACCTACACTGGGGCACCGTGTGTTAAATAAATAGATACAATAGAAAATTTAAAGCCAAACAAAAGAAAACAATTCCTCTCAGTGCCCTGGGAATTTTCTCACTTTACTTTGAAAAACAGAGCATAACATATGCCCGCCCTTATTTGAGGATTGACAACACCAGATCCCAAAGCCCAAGACTACATTTCAGGCAGTGTATGAATGTCTTCCTGTGTGTGCCACTTCCTTCAGATCAGCTTAACAAGCTTCCTGTATGTTAATGGCTGTGCTAAGCGAAGTCACTGTTTGTAGGCTGGTGGGAGGAGCCAGGCAAAGAAACATCAAAGCTTTGTGAGGAGGTATAGAGGGGGTTCAATAAAATGGGGATCTGAGAGGATTTCCTGGACCAGACAGCTCCCAGCTGAGTACCAAAGGATGAGCAGGGCTCTGGGCAAAGGAATGAGTTCCTAGATAGCAAGACATGAACTCCCACCAGAGAACAAAATAAGCCTGGCATAGTGACTGGGTCACACCTGCAATCCCAGCACCTGGGTGGCTGAGGTAGGAGAATTTCTGTGAGCTCAAGGTTAGTCTCAGCTACAGAGGGAGAGAGGAAGCTTGAAGCCAGCGTGGAGTGAGGTCCTGTCTCAAAACCAAAGAGACAGAGCTGAACCAACAGCTGAGATGCAGGTGTGCCCTGTGGGTCTGACTTATCGTGTGGGAGAGCAGGATGGGGGGGGGGGGGGCAGAAAGGGCTGCTGTTGGCTGCACAAAGGCAGTGAAATAGTCAGAGAGGGGAGGGCAGACTGGACAACTGCCTAGGTCAAGCTGGCCAGCCTGGTGACTCACTGGATATGGACTACGGACCTGACTCCCATGACGTTCTGGCCTAGGTGACTGACTGGATGGTGACTCAGGTACCAAGCATACGTACTTGGATAAGAAAGAAGGGCTACGTTTAGCTACGCTGAGGTGTGAGGTACAAAGAGACAGCATGAGTGTTTTGTAGGCTTAGAAAATACACACGGCAACTAAAATCACAAAATCAAGGTGTTTCTAGAACCTTCCTCTTCGGAGCACAAATGAGGCTGAGAGCATTTTCTGTGGCTGTGGCTGAGGGGGTGAGCGGTGTGGCATGAACGCACTGATAATTTGAACTCGGTGCCACAGGTGTTCCTGTGGATGGGAGCCGAGGCCAACACCACGGAGAAGGAGAGGGCCCTCTCAACTGCCCAGGAGTACCTGGTAACTCACCCCAGTGGCCGAGACCCTGACACACTCATCTTGATCATCAAGCAGGGCTTTGAGCCTCCTACCTTCACAGGGTGGTTCCTGGCATGGGACCCTCACATTTGGAGCGTAAGAAATTGGGGATGCTGTTCTGATTGCCAGGGGGCTCGGATCCCAGACTGGGGAGTGGGGTACTAACTCAAGAGCCCTCGCTCTCCTTTCCCACTGAATTCCCGCCTTACTTTCCTTCTCTTCGGCTTCATCCCCACGGCAGGAAGACTAGTCAGATGGTTCCCAGCTACCTGGGCAGGGGGCGGTGAGGAACTGTGAGGGTACCTGTCTATACCATGTTCACAACCCTGACAGCCAGCACAGAGTCACAGTGGGCTAGTAGGAGGAAGCCAGGCTTCAGACAGGCGGCCATCTGCCTCTTACCACCAAAGACTGTTGACCACTCGTACGGACCTTTTGACCCAACATAGACCTCCAGGACACCGAAATGCTTCCTGATTCTACCTCATCCTGGCCTTTCTGTCTCTTCACAGGCTGGAAAATCATACGAACAGTTAAAGAAGGAGCTGGGAGATGCCGCTGCTATCGTGAGAATCACTGCCGTGAGTGGGGTTTGCCCTTAGAGACAAGGGTCCCCAGGACCACCAAGAGAGAGCATGGCAATACAGGCAAACCCTCTGTGCCTCTAAGCACTCCCCCAGTTGTCAGCTGGATGCAAAGGGTTTTTTGCTTTGTTTTGTTTGAAGAGCTCTAACTCAGAGGTATTTTAAATCAACAGAAAAGCAGATCTGGGAGAATCCTGAGTCCTAGGCCAACCTAACCCACAGAGCAAGACCTCTATCTCAAAAACAAGTGGTGGGGTGCAGAAAGAGCGGGTCTCAGAGCCAGGCTCCTAATTTACTGCCTTTTAGAACATGGAGGTGGGGGTGGGGCAGAGAGCTGGCTTAGCAGTTAGAACATGTGCTGATGCACCTGTGTTGGGTGGCTCACGAGAAACTGTAACTACACGCCAGAAGTATCTATTTCTCTGTATTTCAAGAACATCTGTGCTCATGTGCATATATACTCCCCATATACATAACGTACAAAATAAATAGTTTAAGATCACCCGTGGCTACATACTGAATGGAGGGCCAGCCTGGGATACATGAGACCCCACCTCAAAAACCAGAGCAAATAAGAATAAAACCTAACTTTAAGCCGGGCGTTGGTGGGCGCACGCCTTTAATCCCAGCACTTGGGAGGCAGAGGCAGGCGGATTTCTGTGAGTTTGTAGACCAGCGTGGTCTACAAGAGCTAGTTGTAGGACAGCCTCCAAAGCCACAGAGAAACCCTGTCTCAAAAAACAAAACAAAACATAAAAACCAAAAACCTAACTTTATTATTCAGTTTTTTCTGCCTCTCAGGAGAGACTACGGTTATCAGCATTATTTCTCAGAGACTAACTTCTAACCCAAATGGTATTTTGTTAGTTTCCGACAGTGAAATCCACAGTGGTTTGGGCTCCTGACCCCTATTTTAACAGCTAAAAGAAGTGGAGCTTGCAGCCAACAGCCCTGGACCGTCAGGAGGGGATGTGTGGCATGGGGTGCTCCAACATTTGCATGTTGTCCTTTGTGCTCAGCAAAGTCAGACCCCAAAGTTAATGCGGTGCAGTTAGTGTCTTCAAACTGTACGCAAGCATGGCTTCCGTCTCAAGGCATTTGATGACTGGAAACACAGACCCTAAAAATGCCAAGAAAGGGGTGTGATCAGAGTGTTTAGAAAAGACTTGTGGCTGGAGGTGTGGCTCAATTGGCAGAGACTAGCATACAGGAGGCTTTGCGTTCAATTCCCAGCACTGCATGAATAAATAAACACTCACATTAGGCCTGCTGAATTGGCTTTCCAAGGTTTTTTTTTCACCTGCATCCAGGTCTGGGGAGCACCATTCTGAAAAGCAGCGTAAGCCAAAACGTAAACCTTATACACGCAGAGAACTGAGGTCGAGTAAGACATCAGTCTTGGCCCAAGTCTGTATTCTTCTCTTACTTAGGACATGAAGAACGCAACCCTCTCCCTGAATTCTAATGAAAGTGAACCGAAGTATTACCCTATAGAAGTTCTCCTGAAAAGTCAGAACCAGGAGCTGCCAGAGGATGTGAACCCTGCCAAAAAGGAGGTATGTGGCTGTGGAACTCCCCACAGGCTAAAGCACCAAGCTCAAGAAATGGCTTTGCACAGTTTGGGCACGGTGCAGGCACTCAGGGGCATCTGTGCTACTGAGTCAATTGTAGGCTCTTCCTGGAATGTTTCCTGCTCCCAGAGGAGTCCACCTGGTAGCCTCTCTGTGCCCTTCGTCTCTCTGCTGTTAGTCCAGTCAAGCAACCATGCACCACTGAGAACTAACCGTTTCCTCACCACGCCCCAAATCCTTCCCTGGCATAATCGCATTAACAGTCAGGGGCTGGAAAGACCTCTCAGAACATAAAGGCATTTGCCATCAGGCGTAACAAGCTAAGCTCGGCACCCAGGACCCACATAGTGCGAAGAGGCTACTGAGTTCCAGTTTGTCCTCTGATCTACAAACGCATGCCCCCTCACACACACACACTAGATAAATAAATGCAACCGAGAACTTTAACACACCTCCAATGGCTCCCCAGAGCCCTCCACAGTCTGCCCTGCCCCTTGGGGGTCTCCCATAGCCTCTTACCACCCTCCAGTCAGTGCCTGCTTTTCGATCCCCCGAGCATGCTTACCCCAGCCATGAGGCGTTATGCTTGCTGGCGTACCTGTGAGAGTTCTCAGCCCCTTGTCGTTTAGAGTTCAGCTCTGGTTGGCCTTCCTTGAATTTCCCTAACCACTCCCTCCCTGCAGCACACACTCCCCTTGGACTCACTATCATGTCGTAGGTTTTATGAATCAATATACTCATGTTGAATGGAGCATGAGTGAATGAGCTGGTGAAAGGCCTCTGGGCACTCGAGTAACACCTTAAGATGTTAAGCCCAAGTGTTTTTAGAAGCAGAGGCCACAGTCAGCGGGGCGTGGTGGCTCATGACTGTAATGCCAGCACCAGGGGGACTGAGGCAGGGGAGTCACCATAGGTTCCAAGTCAGCATGGCCTACATAGTGAGTTCTATGACAGCCTGGTTATGGTGAGATGCTGCTTCAGAAAACAATAAGGCTCATGGCTTAATGACCGCACATGGGCACTGAAGTGGTATGATCTACTCAATCTTGCACCCGTAAGAATTCTTGGGGCTTAGGGGTACACAGAGAGTCGTCCTGGCTTCACTCCCTAGCACCAAAAGTGAGTATTCAGTAGAATGGCAGTTAAGGGCATGAAGCAAAGAGCACTCCATTCAGTTCTCCATCCTTCCAAATCAAATGTTTATAATCCATCCGTAACATAAAAATCCATTCACTGCCTGTGGGGCAGGGAACCAGGCTGAGCAGTCAGCTCAGTCAGTTTCTCCCACTGGCCCAATGGGACTCCATGGCCAATGGGGAATTTAGGTCTGTTACAGTCCTCCTGGACATCATCTGATGCCCCTCCTTCTTCCAGGACCTGCCTGAGCCGCCTGTTTATATTTGTGGCTCTAGAGCTCAAAGCCAGACAGGACCCCTTGCGAGCCAGGCAAGCAGAGAGCCGTGTAGCTCCTCCACCTGCCCCAGGCTCCCTCCCGCCTACTGGCATTAATGAAATGCCCTGCTGGCATTAATGAAATGCCCTGCCTTCTTCTCACTACAGATTCTGCTTTCTCTTAGAATTACCTCTCGGAACGAGACTTTGCATCTGTATTTGGCATGACAAGAGGGCAATTTACTGCTCTGCCTGGCTGGAAACAGCTCCAGCTGAAGAAAGAAAGGGGGCTTTTCTAAAGCAAGGCATCTGTCTGTCGTGCGACCACAGGAGAGCAAGCATGCAGTGCCAACATCAGCCAACAGTCACACACCAACTGCCTGCTTTAGACACGACACATCCGAGAATCCCAGCATGCTCCTTTTTCTTTCTCATTCCCCCTTGCATTCCTTGGTTGTAGTACACTAGAAAGTTGACTACTCGCTTTCCAGCTTTTGTGGCCTTGGCAGAGAGCATGAATGTAGATAGGGTGAGAGAGAGAACCAGAAACTGAGCTTACACTGTTTAGTGCATCGGGAACCACATCTGCTTTAAACTACACCCCGTAACCCCCAAGCCTTGGAGTTCCTTGCACACTCACTGAAGGACAGACTCCAAATGCTCGGGTCTACCATGTGCCATAATGTGTTCAACTTTTCAAATAAAGAGGCCATGTGAGCACATCAGCATCCTTTCCAGTCTCCAGGGTTCCTTCTTAGGGTGACTTTAATTGTCATGGGGATGGCATTTCGCTGCTGAGAAAGTACACAGGCAATGCTGAAGCCTGGTTCACAAACCTGTAACCCCAGCTACCAGTCCAGCTGGGGCAGACACAGTGAGGCCAAGGCCAGCCTGGGCCATGGGGTGAATTCAAGGCCCAGCTCAGTGCCATGCAAAGACCTGGTCTCACCGGGAGAGATAGATGGCTCAGGGCTTGAGACCACTTATTGCTCTTGCAAAGGACCAGGTCCAGTTCCCAGCCCCCACACATGGTGGTTCACAAACACCTGTAACTCCAGTTCCAGGGGATCCATGTCTTTTTTTTTTTTTTTTTTAACCTCAAGAAGGCAGCAGGCATGTACACCATGCAGATGAATACATGCAGACAAAACACTCAAACACATAAAATAAGAATAAATCTTTAAAAAGGAAAAGTGCACAGCAGTAAAAACCTTAGCAGTATGCCCGAGGTCCTGGGTACAATCCCCAGCATCAAAAGCAAACAAATAAACGGCAGCGTTGAGAACTTTGTAGTGAACTAAACCACCGTCCTTCCTGTCCCTGGCACAAGAATGCCAAGACCAGGGCTGGAGAGATGGCTCAGAGGTTAAGAGCACTGACTGCTCTTCCAGAGGTCCTGAGTTCAATTCCCAGCAACCATATGGTGGCTCACAGCCATCTATGATGAGATCTGGTGCCCTCTTCTGGTGTGCAGAGAGACATGGAGGCAGGATATTGTATTCATAATAAATAAATAAATAAAATAAATCTTAAAAAAAAAAAAGAGCCGCGCGTTGGTGGCACACGCCTTTAATCCCAGCACTCGGGAGGCAGAGGCAGGCGGATCTCTGTGAGTTCGAGGCCAGCCTGGTCTACAGAGTGAGTACCAGGACAGCCTCCAAAGCCACAGAGAAACCCTGTCTCGAAAAAACCAAAAAAAAAAAAACAAAAACAAAAACAAAAACAAAAAAGAATGCCAAGACCTGCCTCACAGCCACCCAGGAAACCCAGGCCCAGCTACCCACACCCATTTCAGGGTCACACGCCAGTTCAGAGAGCATGCTGTAGCCATCAGCGGATGGGCCCACATCTTCCAGACAGTTCTAGCGTACAGCAATAATATGAAATCCCAACTACAGGGGTAACACTGCAGGGGACGCTCCAGGGAAGATGTGGGGTCCAAATGTCACAGAATGGAAGCAGAATCAGACTCCGTCACGGGAACAAGACAGAGTGTAAGGAACTTAAGGAACGGTGTAATCGAGTGAGTGACATGGGGACTGGGGCGATGGCCTACTGGGGAAAGTGCTTACCGCACACGCCTGGCATGTGTACACGCATCCACTTACACAGTTTTTCAAATTTCAAAAATAGTTAAGTCCAATATTATGCCAATGAGAAAAACTCTACTTTATTACATAACTATTTAACAACTTTACCCACGAGTATATGACTTCATAATAAACTAAAAAGAAAAAACAGATTCAAGAGTTGAAGAGGTTTAGAAATAACTTTTTATAAGGAAATCCAGATCTAAAAATAAATATTCCCACCACGTCCAAAAACCTATTTGGTCTCCGCTACCTCTTCTTCGACTTCCCCGCACTCAAAGCGCACGAAGTCAACTACAGACACGCCCTGGGGCTGCACATACTGTCCCAGAGTGATGGAAGGGTCCAGCAGGTACGGCTGGGACAGCATTCTGGTCTCAGTCTCTCCTCCAGGCTCATCATCCAGGGAGCCAACAGAGAGCGGGGCCATGCCCACCACATGCTGCCCCAGGCGGCGGCCCACGTCCTTCAGGTTTGCACTCTGCTCACAGGCCTGGCAAACGACCAGGGCCCCGTACTTCCCCAGCACCAGGTTGTGCAGCGAGGGGCTCTGCATTACTCCGTGCACGTAAGAGCCGACATAGAACCCAGACGGCACCATCACCCAGGCAGCTCGCCTAAGAATCATGTTCTCTCCCAGTTTCCCTACAAGAGAGCAAAAACAAGAAACAATGACCACTGGATTTCGAGGACCGTGGTGGCACCAATGAGGCCAAGTGTGCCCGGTGACCTTCTGTACGTGAGTACCTCTGCCATGAGACAAAAGACACAAGCCTCAGCTTGTGTTTAAGAAGGACGGGAGGAGGGAGAAGGGCAAAGTCCCTAGAGGAGCGCTCTAGTTAAGACGAGGCCACCGGCCTCTTCCTGGCTCTGTGACCTCCCGCACTTACCAACTGCCCGTGCCTTAGTTTCCTCATCTATATCATGGTAACGATACTGTGTGCCTTCCAGAGTAACTGCGAGAAACAAAGAAGGCGGCACATGCACGGAGCATGTGTTATGTGGCTCATGCTTTTCAGGCACTCAGAACGTGGCTATTCTCGTCAGGCTACACCAAGGCTTGCAGAATTCAAGTGACACACCCACCTGTATGTGGCAGGGTTGGAATTACAGCTCAAAGTGGACCCCAAAGCAGTTAAGTGAATTTTCTCCCCACCAAATCACTCTCCGAAAACACAACCACAGCAGATACACACAACTCCTGTCACCAACGGTGCCTGGGAAAGGCCTATAAGGAAAAGTCCCAGGAAATCCAAACTCCAGCCACCTGACAGTTTCAACTTCTGCACATCAAAAGTACAAAGATAACATGCTCAAAACCTCTAGAGAACCAAAAGCAGATTCTAGTTTTCTCCTTTTCCTCCTGGGATCCCCTTCCAAGAAAAGCCGGAATAAAAAACAGGAAGGGATGGAGGCTAGGCAGCAGGGTCTGATGAAGATGCAAGGTTAGCCACACTTACAGCTGGAGGTCATAAAGAGAATGATGCAGAAATCAATATGGAAAAAGCTCAGAACTCTACCCAACAGTTAATTATCAGAAGCTGATAACACCAAAACCCCTATTTCTCTCAGGATTTCTTAACACAGCTGTTGGCCTGGCTGCTCACCCATGACTCACTAGACAGAACTGTGAGGTTTCTTTGTAAAAGCAGAACCGTGCCTTGACTAGAAGCTGCAGATGACAAGAAAATTCCCAGAAATTACAACCCTGCTTGCCTCCCTCCCTCCATCAGGACACTTGGAAAGACAGCAAGAACCCCCCTGAAGCCCCCAGTGACCAGGGTATGGTTCCCCCAAAGTGGCTTCTACAGACATGTGATATGCCTTCATAAATTCACAATATAATTCCTAAAATAGACAACCTCAAATTTTCTTTAGGAAAAAGATTTATTTTTATTATGTGTAGGTGTTTTACTGCAGGTGCATGCAGTGCCCTTGGAAGTCAGAATCCCTCAGAATTAGAGTCCAGATGGTCGCTAGCCACCAAGCTGGTGCTGGGAATCAAAGCAGGGTCCTCTGGAAGAACAGCCCGGCTCTTAACTGCTGAACTGTCTTCCAACCCCTTAAATTTTCTTTTCCACCTTCATTGTACTTTTCCCTTCACTTGGAAGTTGAAGAGCCATCTTTGTGTAGTCAGCACATTGATGAAATAATTTTAACTAGTTGCAAACCATTAAGAACCATGAGGGTTAGTTTATAAACGTAAATTCCTTTATGTAATTCAGGATTTTTTGTTTTGTTTTTGTTTTTCAAGACAGGGTTTCTCTGTATTGTTTTGGAGGCTGTCCTGGAACTCGCTCTGCAGACCAGGCTGGCCTCAAACTCACAGAGATCCGCCTGCCTCTGCCTCCAAAGTGCTGGGATTAAAGACGTGCATAATTCAGGATTTTGAGTGTACCAGAACTACAGTTTCCTCGATATACTAACCAGTTAGCGCTTGGGGATGATGACTCCTTTGGGTTTTCGGGGTGTCTGTGCACCCATCCTCACATACTGGTGCCCTTAGAGGTGCATGAGTTTGTAATTCTCTCTTTTTTATTTACTATTGAGAATCCCATACATGTACATGACCTATCTCTACCATATTCACTCCTACCACTTGTCTCCAACTCCTGAGCTCAGGTCACAATTATCGAATGAAATTTGGAAGGGTACCAAAGATACCAGGAAAACCAGACTTTAACTTCCCCTTTCCAGAACCCTCAGATACTCACCAATCGCTAAGGCCAGGTGATCCTTGAGAGAGTCTTCTCTGTTTGGCCCAGCTGCAAGTTCAGAGAGCTCAGAGGAGTTCAGGAAGCCCTGAGTACAGGAGACAAGTGTGAGCTGGCACTGTGTGCCAGAACCAAACAGCTAAGAGGACCATCTATATAAATAGATGGAGCTTCCATTAAGCCAAGGACGTTAAAAATCGATAGCATCATCATGCTTGTAAGTCATTCTACTACTGCACTGCCCCCAACTCCATTCCGCTCTCATCCTTAGCCTGCCGCCTTAGGATTTCCTAGAAACTGGGACCAGGATCTTACACAATCATTAAACAGCAACACTAAACCGGGCGTTAGTGGCGCACGCCTTTAATACCAGCACTTGGGAGGCAGATCTCTGTGAGTTCTAGGCCAGCCTGGTCTACAGAGTGAGTTCCAGGACAAGCTCCAAAGCAATAACAGAGAAACCCTGTCTCGGGAAAAAAAAAATCAACACTAGTGGGTTGGGGGGGTTTGCCAGGAACTCGTTTGATACATGAGCAGGAAGGAATTGGGCAATTTCCAGCTGAGCACTTAGCCCTTGACGTCGAAGTTCTAGGGCTGGTGACCTGAGGACACACCTTTTTCATTACTGTTTTTGGGGGACAGGGTCACATTCTGTAATCCCAAAAAGCTTGTAACTCACATTGTAGCCCAGGCTGACCTCAAACTCCTGGAAATCTTCCTGCCTCTGCCTCCCAAGGGCTGGGATTACAGATGTGCATCACAACCAGCTTGTTAATAAGCATTCAAAGATACAAAAGTATGAAAAATTTAAAAGCACATATACACAAGATTATTCATTGAGCAATTATTTCTAATCATTGAGTGTTGGCAATAGCCTAAATGCCCAAGCACAGGAGACCGGCTGAATAATCCATGGTATATCCACACAACAGAATACTATGTAGCTAGAAAAAAAGACAAACAATAGTGGAACATGCCTTAATCCCAGCATGACGCGGCGGCAGCAAGATGAGAAACTGCTGGCTATCAGAGGCTACACACTGTGGCTAATGATGGCCAAGCCTTCTCGAGACTCTGTCTCAAACAGAGGAAGATCCTTATGAACTCCTGAGAACTGTTTCCATGACAGACATCAAATGAAAAAACAAGTCAACATGTCACCATCTATACTGGAAACAAATGTACATTGACCTTTTTTTTTTTTTTGGTTTTTCGAGACAGAGTTTATCTGTATTGTTTTGGAGGCTGTCCTAGAACTTGATCTGTAGACTAGGCTGGCCTCAAACTCACAGAGATCCACCTGCCTCTGCCTCCTGAGTTCTGGGATTAAAGGCATGCGCCACCAACACCCAGCTGACACTTACTTTTGTAACAATAAATACTTAGAAGTCAAACCATGATCCAATGAGTGTGCTTATCTACAGAATAGGTAAGAATGGGGTTTGGGGAAGCTGGAGCAACGGCTCAGTGGTTAAGAGCACTAGCTGCTCTTGCAGAGGACCCAGGTTCAATTCCCAGCACCCATACAGCAGCTCACAACTGTAAATTCAGTTCCAAGGGACCCAGTGCCCTTCCTGGCCTCTGAGTGCACGGCACATATGTAAGGCAGTATATGGGTAGAACATTCATACACATAAAAATAAAATCTTGAAAAGAATGGGATTCAAGACTGGAGAGATGGCTCAGAGGTTAAGAGCACAACTGCTCTTCCAGAGGACCTGAATTCAGTTCCCAGCACCCATATCAGGCATCTCACAATCATCTGTAAATCCAGCTCCAAGCCATCTAACATCATCTTCTGACCTAAATATAAACTTTATGTAAGAAAAAATAATGAGCTTCAAAAGGGAGTAAGAGGGGGCCAGTGAGAAGGCTCAGCGGGTAAAGGGATTAGGTGCCAAGCCAGACCACCTGACCTGTCACAGAACCAACATGCGGCAGACAGAACAACAGAGTCCTGCCAGGACGACCGACACACACACACACACACACACACACACACACACACACACACACACACCGTAATAAAAACAATGTAATAAAAAGATCTTTAAACCAGAAAGAATAAGATTCTCTTATCTTTTTTTGGAGAGTTCCTTTAAAGACTATTGATCCTTCATGTGATACTCTCAATTAAGATTCTGTGGTTTCTGGCTAGTTGGAGCTGAAGAATCAGCTTGTGATTAACAGGAGACCAGAGTCACTACCAAGAAAGCTGTGCTTTATGGGGACAGTCGATGCTGTCTGGCCAGGACTGAGAAGTGAGCTGTGATTAGTAAGAGATGAGCATCGCTGAGTTAAACCTGGGAAGGGCTTCCTCAGGGGCATCAAGAAAGGCATCAAGAGTTGGATCCCCAGCCCCCGAATAAAAGAGATGGCCACCCCAAAAAGGACAGATGTAGTGTGACGTCTTACTCTTTTGACTCTTTGGAGTCTTTTGGCTTCTGGGGGAGCCCTTCATACAGTTCCCAAATAAATCACACATGAAGGCTTATTCTTAGTTTGGAATGTCCGACCTTAGCTTGGCTTGTTTCTTGCCAGCTTTAACTTAAATTATCCCATCTACCTTTGGCCTCAGGGCTTTTATCTTTCTCTATTCCTGTATGCCTTCTATTTCCTTCTTATTCCGTGTCTGTCTGGATGTGTAGCTGGGTGGCTGGTCCCTGAAGTCCTCCTCCTTCCTCTCTCACTCACAATCCCTTTTCCCAGATTTCTCCTCATCTTTATCCTCTCTGCCTGCCAGCCCCTCCTATTCCTCTCTCCTGCCTCGCTATTGGCCGTTCAGCTCTTTATTAGACCACCAGGTGTTTTAGACAGGCACAGTAACCCAGCTTCACAGAGTTAAACAAATGCAGCATAAACAAAAGTCACACACCTTAAAGTAATATTCCCTGACAGACCCCTAAGGTAGGGACCACAGCAAGCTGGAGACAACCTTCAAACTCACTTTAGTGTACGTGGAGAGTTGATTCTCTAGGCTCTGACAGTGGGACATGGTTCCCAGGGCAACTTGCTGGACCAATTGTTGAAATTTTACATTTCTAGAGACAAAATCTGTCTCACAGTTTACCTGTGGGAACAAATGGATATTGCTGTATGAGCTGTTTACTGATAGTTTCTAAAACAGTTGGAGACTAAGCCAGGGCATTGACAGGACGAGCTGCAGACTCAACAGAAACAAATGGCCTCAGGTGTTAAAGCTACAGCTCCCTACTTCTGGTGAGACAGAAACCAGGGAAGTGACTGTTGCCAGGGCAGGCAGTGGGCAACAACCTGTATACCCCGGAGGGTCCCAGAACACCCTGACTCACCAGTTCACCACTTGCCTATATAACACACCATAACCATTTTATTCATTAACCCCTCAACTCCAAACCTTTTTTGTTTTGTGAAAGGGACTCAGCTGGCCTTGAACTCAGTAAGTAGCTGTGGATGACCCTGAAGTGATCTTCCTGCCTCTACCGCCCAAGTGCTAGAAGTACCCACCATTCCCACTCTCCAACCACTGTTAGCATCGCTTGTTTATCTCTTCCTTACTGCAGCCTTCTCTGCATCTGCTTTTTCATGGTCCTCCGGCCTCCTCCAAGTCCATACTTACCATCAACACACAGAGGAGCAGTTAATATGATTGCTGACTTTACAAATCATCTTCATTTCTTATCTTGTTTTAGGGGTCAGGATTTCACTTTGTAACTTAGCTGCCCTCAAACCCACAGTAATCCTCCTGCCTCAGCCTCCCAAGTGTCGAGACGACAGGCGAGAGCCACCACACCCTGCTGCCAGTTTCTAATCTACCTGCTCCAGGCAACAAGGCTACACTGGATTTACACTTAGGAGGAAGGATTAGGTTGCTAGGCAACTGTAAATGTCCACACTTAAACCCAGGCCCTGAGAACTGAACTCTAAACACAACCTGGTCTCAAACAGATTCCTTAAGCAGTAAGGGTCTGCCGCACACCTTACACTTCCAGACAAGCTGTCTCTAGGATACGGCTTCCCCAACAACTCACCTCTACTAACACAGCTGTGTTTCCCTCCTGCAGCAGCCCAACCAAGCCTTCTTTAGTCTTCCTCCCATGGAGCTTAGCCGCTTTGCTCCAGCCTTCCTTCTGGGCCTGCTCGTGCAGCCAGGCCTCTGCCTGCAAATGGAAAAGGAAGAGGAAAAAGCCAGTCACAGAAATTAGAAATATATCAAAATGTGCCAGGCAGACAGTGGGCCTCTGTGAATTCCAGGGGAGCCTGGTCTACAAAGTCAGTCCAGGACGGCCAAGGCTACAAAGAGAAACCCCCTTTTGAAAAACAAAAACATCCAAGTCAACCAAATCTTTCTGCACTTCCACGTTCTATAACAGAAACTACTCTACTACTAAACGCTCTACACCAGGCACTGTATATAGCTGGCCTCTGTATAATTTTCACCACCCCACTATGGAACAGATGGTAGTGTTCTCATACAGACAACACTGACACAACTCTAAAGGAGTAATTGCAACGTACAAAGTTAATGTGTATGTGAGAGAGAGGGCCTCCAGCGTCTAACTTCAAAATTTACACAAATACTGATCTGCAAGCAGCAGCAAATGCCTCTAACATGGGATACAGTTAATTCTGGGAGTCTGGGTCCACTGAAGACGAAATCGAAGGGGGAAGCTATCGTTTCGGTCAAATTCTTCTCTTTGGGTTCTGTCGTTAAGGGCAGTGGGTAGGAGGATAGGTCTAAGCTCCCCCAGAGCGGCCCCGGAAGAAAAGTCCGAGGTCGAGCCTGCTGTAGCTCCAGGTGGGACAGTACCTCCTCCCACCTGTTTGAGATCACCGCCACAAGTCTCCAGAGCTTTCTTGCAGTTGACAAAGGAGTAGCCCGTTTTCCGCCGCAGCTTCATAAGGAGCTCCTTGCTGGAGGCAGAAGATGACAGCGAGGGGCCCGCGTGAAGCGTGTGCCATGGCTGGGACGGCTGCAGCAGGGCAGATCTGGCCTGGAGGGAGTGAGGAGAGAGGGATGAGCAGTCGGGAGCGGCCGCAGCTAGACAGAAGGCGAGGGAGCAAGTACGCAGGGCCAGACCTCGGGGACAGTGGGAGAGCAGAGTGGGAAGGTGCCGAACCCGGGTCGGGAGAAGGAAGGGCGCGCTCACGGCATCCGGGAGCGCAGCTTAAGCCTCGGACCAGGAGTCCTCACCGAGCGGCCGGTGCACACGACCGAGAAGAAGCGCAGCGACCGCAGCAGCAACATTCTCTCCAGCAGCCCCGACACGCCTGTCCGCTCGCCCGCCCTCCGGCGCTCGGGTGAGACGACGGCCTACGGCGTGGCGCGAGGGCCAAAACTCCTCCCGGAACATGTCAAGCGAGGATGCTGCCACCTGCCGGCCGGAGGAATATATCGCCTCTTTGGCTCGGCTTTTTAAAACATGTCACCAAAGACTTGGCCCTCCGTGAGTAAAACAGAAAAAACGGCACAATAGCGTTGTCACAAAGTAACAACACAAGACACGTAGGTAATGTTTTATGTTTCTTTATTTCAAGTGTACTTCCACATTCGGCATTCATTTATGACTCAGGACAAACCGGAGGTAGGTAGGTAAGTGGGTGGGTGGGTGGGTAGGTAGGTGGGTGGGTGGGTGGGCTCAGGAAACCGTCCAAGGTCTCCTGGAGAGGTGAAGTGGAGGTCCTTCAACAAAATGAATAAATAACTACTGAATTGGCAAAAATATATGCTGAACACCTGTGAGCCCAGAGCTGCGGCCAGTTTCAGAGGTTAGTGACGAATAAACCACAGCCCAGCCCTCCGAGGTTATCTATTGGTGAGGAAGTAAGAATCGGGTAAGACAAGATAAGGTCCCAAAGGCGGAAATCACATCCAAACAGAAGAGTCAGGAAAAGGAGGGTTTTTCTGTGTTTGGTTTTCCAGAAGAGTGAATTTTAGGGGAATTCATCAGAAGATGGGAGAAGCAAGGGAATGCTGCTATAGAGTTAGAGGAAGGGAACAAAGAGTAGGACTTTGGCAATTTGGCTAAAAGAGCCATACAAAAGGAGTAGGAAATGAAATACAAAGTAGTTTGTGAGCACGCCGGTGTAGCCTGAGTACCAAGCGGAGACATTCCTTCTTGCAGTAGAAGCTAAATCCAGCAGGTTTTGGAAGGCTGCAAGAATTTGAAGAATTGTTTGGGGGTTAAGAGAGTGCTGGTTGGACACACCAGAGACAACTGGGTGCCTAAACAGTAAGTGGAAAGAGCCCAACCCAGACTGCCCCTGAGGGAAGAGACGAGAGGGTAAAACAACTTAGGAAGGGAAAACTGAACTTGGAAGAGGTCAGAAGAACCTAGAACTCAATCCAGAGTTGGGTACAACATGATATTCTGTGATCAGGCCTGAACTTTGCAAAGGATGAAGAAGCCACAGCTCAAAAGGGACAGCTCTGGTGCTGGTCCCCAGGCTCAGGAAGATTTGTCTTAGAGTCTTATTACACCAGGCAAGATTCAGGTGCTCTGAGGTGTCTTGGTACCAGCTCCCCCTCGATAGCTACGTGTTTGGGGGTGCAAAGACATGATTAATGTTCTATTTTTCCCTAAAAATGTTAAAGAATGTTTTTTGTTTTGATTTTGTTTTTGGGGGGTTGGTCTCAATGTATATAGTTCTGAGCACTAGGATTAAAGGCATGTGCCACCACCCCTGACCAAGAAGGTGCTTTTTTTTTTTAAAGTTCATTCTGAAGCCAGGGTGGTGATAGAAAAACCTTTAACCACAGCCCTCAGGAGGCAGAGGCAGACGGATCTCTGAGTTCAAGGCCAGCCTGGTCTACAGAGTTCCAGAATAGCCAAGGCTACACAGAGAAACCCTGTCTCCAAAAACAAACAGACAGAAGAGTCCATTCTGTTTAAAGAACTGGAGTGGTCAGTGACAGCCTCTCTTCAGCCAGTGTTCAAACCCTGTTTCCTCCCTTTCTCCTAAATACTCTGAAGGGTTCTGCTATTTTTTTAACAAGTGGTTCCCCTCCAGCACCTACCCAAGAATATCTAGGGGAACAAACTGGAAGAGGGTAGAAAGAAAACAGGCAATCCATCATTTTCTTCAGTCCTGATGTTTATGGCTCTGGAGCTAGGCCGTTCCGCCTCTGAGACAGGGGCTGAGGTGAACAGAAGGGGTGATGTCCGGCAGGTCTCACTTCCCTGTGTCTGGCCCGATAGATGTTGACATTGGCGTCCTCATCCCGCTGGGCCAGCTGCACTTGGAAGGACTGCGTCAGGAAGTGCTGAAAGAAACTCTCTGTCCCATGCTCCTCTCTCATCTTGGAAGCCAGATAGATGGTGCCATGGGGCCCACACAGGTGTTGGAGGGTCCCCAACAGCAGTGGGAAGGTAGGTTCCAGGTACACGATATCTGCCCCCAGCACTAAGTCATAGTTTCCAGGAAAGCCATGCTGGTCAATTCCCCAGGACAAGGCACACACCTTCACCCGGCCTCCAGATGGCACATTAGCGTGGACATTCTCCTGAATCTGCTCTAGGGCCAGTGGTAAATCAGTGATGGTAACATCCCCCCCTGAGGGAGAGTAAGGAGGAGAAATTCAAGTCAGAGGGACCACGAAAGGGCTCACGACTCCTGCCTGGAGGGTCCAGAGACCTCATGTCTGGCAGCCCAAAGTCCACACTTTGACTTTTCGTTGCCCTAACCTCAGACTCACCCATGCCACTCTCAGAAGTTACTCTACATTCTACAACATCAACATTCTCCCCGAGCTAATCTTCAACCTCTCTGCCCAACACACAACAACCAGATGTCAGCAAAAGCCGGGGCAAGACCAAGCCGGGGATGAGCTGTGCACCCCCACCCACCTACCCACCCAGACTCAGAAGACGCGACCTCAGCTGAGCCCTAAAAGACGAGGACAAGTTAGTCAGGTGAGGCTTCCCAAGCAGAGAACAGAGTACAAGGGCCTGGCAGGCAAAGGGCATGGCATAGTTAAGGAAGGCTATGGCCTAGAAGAGTAGATCTCAATCTGTGGGTCCCAACTCCCACACGACCATAGGAAAACACAGAGATTTACATTGTGATTCATAACAGCAGCAAATTACAGCTAGGAAGCAGCAACAAAAATTGTTTTCTTTCTTTCTTTTTTTCTTTTTATGATTTTTTCGAAACAGGGTTTCTCTGTGGCTCTGGAGGCTGTCCTGGAACTAGCTCTTGTAGACCTGGCTGGTCTCGAACTCACAGAGATCCACCTGCCCCTACCTCCCGAGTGCTAGGATTAAAGGCATGCGCCACCACCGCCTGGCTACAAAAATTGTTTTATGGTTGGGGGTGTCAGCACAACACGTATCAAAGGGTCAAAGCCTTAGGAAGACTGATAACCAGTGTTCTAAAATGTCAAGACCCAAAACAAGGACTATGACATGCTGAGGAAAGTCAGGATTGAGAAAGTGTGGTCACATGCTAAGCAAGCACTCTGCCACAGAGCTATATTCCCAATTCAGCAAATAGGTTTTAAGAGTCCAATCTGGGGTAAAGATCAGATTGGTATTACAGGATACTTTACTCACATAACAAACATGTGTACCAGCACTCGGGAGGCAGAGGCAGGCGGATCTCTGTGAGTTCGAAGCCAGCCTGGTCTACAGAGTGAGTTCCAGGACATCAAGGGCTACACAGAGAAGCCCTGTCTGGAAAACAACAACAACAAAAACAGTGGCAAGAAAAGATGACAGGACCAAAAGAAATGAAATATCCTAGCATGGTGGTACCTGTCTATAATCATAGCACTTGGGAAGCAGAGGCAGGAAAGGAAGAGTCTTAGTCCTAAACTATCTGGGGCTACGTGGTAAGACACATGGTCAACAAACTAAAAATCAACAGGGCCTGGTGGCTCACACCTATAATCCCAGCCCTTGGGAAGTAAAGGCCAGAAGATGAGGAGTTTAAGGTCAGCCAGGGTTACGTTGGACCTTGTCTCAAAAAAAAAAAAAAAAAGACATACACTACATCAAAGAATAATATGTGCTGCAGTGAGGCCCAAGCAGGGAAAAGGTATGAGTTCCTTGAGGGTGCAGACATGGAGCACACATTTAATGGGATGGCTTGGGAAATCCTCCCTAAACATTACTGGGGAAAGCCTGAAGGCAGGCAGGGATGGAGCAGACCACGTGACTCTCCCTGGCTAAAGTCTACCAAATACCAGATCAGCAAGTACAGAGGGCCTGAGGCAGAGCTGTGCCTGGGAGTTGTGAAGCTGGAGCAGCAGGAACAAGCAGCAGCAGGAGCAGAGTGGGAGGGCCGAGGGGCCAGACCCTGTGACAAGGAAAGGTGAGGAGAGCTTTAAGTGGAAGACTTCATACACTGACTCAGGGCTTATGAGATGAGGCGCACTTTGATTGCTGTGATTTAAAAAACAGAAAAAAAAAAAAAAACCAAGCAGGCTGGAGAGACGGCTCAGCAGTTATGAGCACTTGTTGCTCTTGCAAAGGACCCGGGTTTGGCTTCCATCATATGACCCACATGGTGGCTCACAACCTTCTGTAACTCTAGTTCCAGGGGATCCAGCACCTTCTGACCTCTTCAGGCACCAGGATTGCATGTGGCGCACGCGCGCGCACGCACACACACACACACACACACACACACACCAAAACAAAAAACCTGCAGCAGGGCAAGGACAGAAACAGGAGGGTTAGTCAGGAGGCGACTGCAGTGACCAGGGGAAAGATGATGTTGGTTAGAAATCCGGTAGTGACAATGACTAAGAAGTAATCAAATCCTGAATATAGTCTGAGGGTACTGTCAATGTCAACAAACTGAGTCTCTCTCTCTCTCTCTCTCTCTCTCTCTCTCTCTCTCTCTCTCTCTCTCTCTCTCTCTCTCTCCATCTCTCAGACACACACACACACACACACACACACACACAGAGAGAGAGAGAGAGAGAGAGAGAGAGATTTTATTTTAATTAAGGATGGGTTTTTTGAACATTTGGCCATTATGTAAATGAAGAGGGCTTCAGGAGAGGAAGGCTTGGAAATAAAAGCATGATTTCATTTGTGATCAAAGTTCGAAATGTCATTCAAACATACTGAAAGGCAGTGGGTTATGTAAACAAGTCTTGATATAGAAACGAGAGAGTCCTTGTCCTTACCATGAAAAGGACACTCAAAGTCACAAAACTATGGAACTTCTCAGGAGGGAGGATAGCCAGAAGAAATAAGGGGTCAAAAGGTCTACTCCTGAATTCTGGGACACTCAAAGTTTCTGTTGTAAGGATGAAAAGGAATCAATAAAAAAGAATGGGAAAGTGTGCCGTGTGCCAGCAATGTAGCTGGAAGACAGAAGTGTGTTGGCCCAGAAAGCACTTTTCAAGGAGAGAACAGTACCCTTGTCAAATGCTGAGTCAACTGGAGGGGGCTAGGAACTGACCCCGAGTTCAAAACATGGATTAGGAGTGAAGCTCACAACCCCAGCTAGAGACATGGAGGGAGTGAAAGCCTAAAAAAACAGCAGGAGAGGAACTACAGTGACATTAACATCTGGATGTACTCTCTCCCAATCGGAGAACTAACTCAGGAGATGTAGGATTAGCCACTACCCTCCCCCACAACAGGAATTTCAGCGTAGCTATGCACACACACACACACACACACACACACACACACATAGTGTGTGTGTGTGTGTGTGTGTGTGTATCATCAGATAAGGGTAATAATTGCAGAGGAGACAGCCACAGTTGAAGAACAGGAAGGTAAAGAAACAGATGTCTAGGAGAGTGGAAGAATACATGGGCAAAGGAAATTTGATGAGCTAGCTGCATTGCACAAGGACCCACCCGAGCTCAGGGAAAACCAGTCTAAAATGAGTCTAATGAGCACAGTGGCACTCAGCTGAGTACTAAGAGAGCCGAAGCCATCCTGGGCTGGGGGTGGTGGAGAGGAAGGCACCTTCCCTTAGAAGAGCCGCTGGAGCCCAAAAGAATACGTTTGTGTTAACCAGGCAATAAAACCTTTTCAAGCAGAAAGTGCACCCCCATGAAGTCCCTAAGGAAGGTGACATCAAAGCAGGTTTGAAGAATGGACAGAAGGGTAATAGCCCAAGGACAGCAGGCACAGGAGACAGACAGAAAGAGGCTAGAGAGGGAGGTAGGACATTGGCGGCCAGGTTAAAAGGGTCACTTTTATGCTGAAGGAAGGATCAGTAGCCGATTTGGAGGGCGGTGGGGTGGGCTGTGATGATGACAGCCACATTTTGAAAAAGCCATTCTGATGGCAGGGTGGTGTGCGTGAGCCAGGGTCTAGGTGGGGACCAGAACTCAAAGCAAGAGGACCAAGCAGTGTGACTGTTTATTATAGTCTGAACCAGTGATGGTGGTGGCTCAGGCTGGGGAGCCAGAGTGGAGTGGAGGAAACACATGGAAACCCAAGAGATTTGTAGGAAGGAACTGAAACCCACAGGGCATGAAGGGCCTGAGGAACGAAAGCAGGGGCATGACAAAGCAAAGGTGATGTCTAGGTTCCACACTGGGAACAGAGCCCGAGGGGGGGGGAGGATGATGGATGGACGGTGGGGGAGGGACCGGGATGGGGATGGGACACGGGGACGGGGGGGATGGGGGGACATGACACACGGGGGGCATGTTTGGTGGGGGAAGATGACTGGGTCAGTCTGTGAGTGCTAACCTTTGCTACCTGGAAGCACGAAGCTACTTAAGAAAATCAGGGCAAGAAGTGGTAGTGGGCTAACTAAATATGGGGGGGACAGGGACTAGGCAGCTGTGCAGGTATTAAGACTGCAGGGGCAGCTGATCTCTGGGATACAAAGTGAGAGAATAGAAGACTACACCCAGACCTCAGACTCGGACTCGGCAACTAAGCAGGGCACAAAAAAGCACTTACTGGCCAGACAGTATTCTCTCTCTCTCTCTCTCTCTCTCTCTCTCTCTCTCTCTCTCTCTCTCTCTCTCTCTCTCTCTCTCTAACACACGCGCGCGCGCGCACACACACACACACACACACACACTCACACACTTTTGCCTTGCCTCCCTCCCTTCCTACCTGAGACAGGGGCGTATGCTGTAGCCCAGGCTGGCCCTTGACCTTCCAGCCTCCTGAGTGCTGGCATCACAGGTATGAAACCCTACACTTGGCTTCTTTCTCTTTAATATAGCCTTCTGACCCCCATCCACCGCCCTCCTGAACCCCTCATCTGTCAGAGCTCCCCTTGGTGGACCCCTCAGCGGCCAAGGTAGCTCTGGCCAGAGCACACCCATGCCACACACGCCTCGCTAGCATCCAGTATGTGCCATAGCATCTTCTCACATTGTCCCGCACTAGACTAGACGTTCCTTGGAAAGAGGAGATCCTTCTTATTCCATATCAAATCCTCGGGCCCCCAGCAAGACTCCTGGCATACAGAGGGCTTAGAACACTTGTTGACTGAAGGAATCGAAGAATTGATGTCTGCATCTGCAAAGACTTATGTGACCCAGCTCTGTCCCTACGAACAAGGACATCCCTGCTTGCATGACTTAGACCATAATAAGGTAAGGAACTTCTTAAGTTCCTGGCTCTTTATAAAATTGAACCACAATTTCCCTGACTTTTTCCTTGCCCAAGTCTTAGCTGATTAATTATCCACTACATCTAAAATGAATATGTACAATCATCACACCCCCTACAGCTAAAATGAGCATGTACAATCATCACACCCTAGCCTTCTAAAATTCATAACCTCGTGTCTTCTAGCAAGGCTGTACGCAGTATGGTGGCACACACCTGTAATCTCAGCACTTGGGAAATTAAGGCAAGAGAACCAGGAATTTAAGGCTAATCTCTACATAATGTGCTTTTGGCCAGTCTGGGCAACAAGAGAGCCTGTCTCAGCCCGACCACCCTCCACCCCACTCTCTCACAAAAAGGGGGGGAGAGGGAGAGAGGGAGAAAGAGAAAGAAGGAAGGAAGGGAGGGAGGGAAGGAGAGAGGGAGGGAGGGAGAGAGAGAGAGAGAGAGAGAGAGAGAGAGAGAGAGAGAGAGAGAGAGAGAGAGAGAGAGAGAGAGAGAGAGAGAGAGAGAGAGAGAGAACGAACCCAAGAGACTCTATCACAATGAAGCTACGAAGCTGTGGTGAGGTTTAATGCCCAAAGTCTCTTCTCTCCCTTCAGAACCCACAGAAATGCATTTCTACGGCAGAACGTCTCCAGCACTTTTCATGGAATCCCTATCTGATTCGTTTTACCCATCCTGGATGTTATGAACTCCAATTCGCGCTGTCTGCCTCACAGAATAGTAGGGATTTGTTAAAACGGAAGAACTGAGCAGAGTTCAAAAAGCCCTGCCCACCCCCAAGGAGTCCACGTATTAACTCCTCCACACTCCCGCTCCCCCTCCCCTCCTCCCGAAATGCCAGCTCACACACCCTGCAGCGCAGCCAAGATTCCCACGATGCCCGTCCCAGCGCCCAGTTCGATCACCTTCTTGCCTCGAAAATCCACATTCTGACTCTCGAAATAGTGACACAGGCTCAGAGCCTACGAGGGAGGGAGGAAAGAAAAGAGAAAGAGGGACATTGTCACAGCGATGGCTCCATATGGGAGAGGCGGGGTCCGGGGACTGGACCTCCCAGGGACCCCCACTTAGGGCTGCCCCTTCCTCACCGCCTCCCACACGCGTGCCGCCACCCCAAGGCGGGACCCAAAGTTTTGCGTGATGCTCAGCTCGTGCCCACAGAAGCAGAACCGGCTGCTCTCCGGGTAAGAGTCGGTGAAGAGCCGGATCTCCCGTGGGAACACGGATTCGGGCTCAGGATTCGGGCTGGAGCTGGCCATCAGGCAAAGCGAGCACCCCAGCACCTCGTCCGGCGCTCGGATCCGACTCCCCAGCTGGATCGACACTGGGGAGACTGGGGGCCGTCAACCATATGGGCTGCTCCCAGGCACCGGCCCCGCCTCCCCAGATCGCCCTCCTTCCTCCAGCTGGACTTCCTGGAGACGGATGGGGACGACCCCCCGAACTCGGGTCCCTGGCGCAGGGACAGGACCCACGCAGCGCCACACATGTCAGACCTGGATGACTTGGTTTGAGACCACCAGGAGGGAGAAGAAATAAACGATGCTTGCATGAACTGTCAGAGGCGAGTCCCTCCCATCCCGCTCACCTGTGGGGCGCACAGGTGCCTGTAGGCATCTGGGAGCCAGGGCGATGCAAGTGCGAGCCAAGGGGAAAAGCGGGGTGCCAGAAGCTGGCCTTCCTGCAGGCTCAGAAACCAGTAGCGCGCTTGCTCTCCCGCGCCGACTCCCTTCGGGGTCCACCCGTCACGGTTCAGTAGATCGTCCTGTTTCCTTAAGAGGCGGGGCCTGCTGGCAGGTCCGGGTTACGTCATCAACGTGCGCCAGAAGTCTTGGAGCTCCACGTGGATACGGAGGCATCATGGCGGGAACCGAGGCCTCCCAGCCGCAGAAGCGCTACTACCGACAGCGGGCCCACTCCAACCCCATGGCGGACCACACGCTGTGCTAGTGAGCGAGCCGGGCGGGCTCCGGGAGGGCGGGCGAGCCGGGTGGGGAGCGCCGTGCTGGCACCAGAGCTAGGACCCGAGATGGACCTGGGAGGATGGTCGGGATGACACGTCAGTTGAGGTTGGGTTAGACTTAGCAGAAGGCGGAGTTGACTGGCTGGGAGGGGTCGTGGTGTTGTAGACCAAGTCTGGGGCGGACTTGCCTACCACATCTGAGAAGAGGAAAAAGATGATTGCTGAAATTAAAATGAAGATGCAAAGCATTTGCCATTTCCATTTTCCGATTTTTAAATTTTGTTTTGGTTTTTCGAGACAGGGTTTCTCTGTGTAACCTGCCCTGGCTGTCCTGGAGCTAGCTCTGTAGACCAGGCTGGCCTCGGACTCAGAGATCCGCCTGCTTCTGTGCCCCGAGTGCTGAGATTAAAGGCGTGACTCACCACACAGGGCTCCCATTTGGGTTTTCTTTTCTTTTTCTCTTTTGTGTTTTTGTTTTTGTATTTCGAGACAGGGTTTCTCTATATTGTTTTGGAGGCTGTCCTGGAACTCGATCTTGTAGACCAGGCTGGTCTCGAACTCACAGAGATCCTCCTGCCTCTGCCTCCTGAGTGCTGGGATTAAAGGCGTGCGCCACCAACGCCCAGCTCCATTTGGGTTTTCTTAATTTATTAAAAAGATAGACATATATACACTCCTGGCTACTCCTGGCTTCATTCTCTGCACAGAAAACACACCAACAAAGTAGTGTCACAATGCCTCAGGCAGTCAGTCTCTGGGAGAAAGAACTTGAGGAACTCCCTGACACATCAGTACCCAGAAGTAGACTTTGGCAAGTCAGCTGTCATACCCTCATGAAGGGACCATGATTCACACCCTGGGAGCCAGGGGACTTTCCTTCATGCCTTCTGGACGCCACATGGCCCACGACTCTAGACTTTTTTTTTTTTTTTTTTTTTTTTTTTGGGAAATCTGCCATCCCCTCCTAGTCATACACAAGCAAGTTTGCAATGGCGTATCCAACAGTCTCTTATGTCTCATTTCTTCTTTCCAACAGCCCTGTGAAGCCAGAGGAGATGGACTGGTCTGAGCTTTACCCAGAGTTCTTTGCTCCCCTTACTCAGAATAAGAGCCATGACGATCCAAAGGATGCCAAAGAAAAGCAAGCTGGGACCCAAGTGGAGTTTGCAGACATAGGTTGTGGCTATGGTGGTCTGTTAGGTAACGTGCTGGCCCTTTTCCTGGGACAAGGAGAGGCCTGGGTTCTGCTAACTCGGCAGGTCAGAGTCAGGGTTAATGGACTTTTCCTCCGACGACCAGACAGCAGTGACATCAGTGCCCGAGACTCTGCGTCTGTGTCCTTTGCCCTGGAGAAGGGAGGGGGCTGCCTCAAATGCATCTTAGAACCTGGGTGGTTCTGTCTGGCTCCAGTCCCTCCATGAGCCATTTCACCTGCCCCGTGCTGGGTCAGTGAACCGGTGAGCCCACGCGTCAGAGATCAGCCACTATGGCCACTGACCCAGAACTGTCTTTGTCAGGGATTCCACAGTTTCCCCCTTCCTCACCAGAACACATTCTGCCACACTCGCTGGGGTTTGGGCCTCCACTCTCTCGTGTTTTGGGGGTTCCTGTTATTTTGTTTTCCAGACAATGCATGTCAAAGCACTCTCCCATGTTTCAGCATTCCCCTATTGACAGATTACGGTGTTAACAGTATAACAGGGAAAGAGCATGGTAGAGACTGAAGTGTTGCCTTGTGCCCGAGCTTTCTCCCTTGTTAGTTCTGTGATCTTGAGTGTTTTGACCCTCAATGTCCCCACCTTCACAGTCTACCACAGAGTGAAAAAACAGAACAACAAAAAGCCAGTTGGTGGTGGCACACACCTTTAATCCCAGCACTTGTGAGGCAGAGGTAGACAGATCTCTATTGTGAGTTGGAGGCCAGCCTGATCTACAAAACTACACAGAGAAACCCTGTCTCAAAAAAAACAAGCAAAAAATTTTATAAATTTGGCTTTGTTATGAAAATTCTAAAGCAGCTTTGGAGTCACATATCAGATATTTACATTACAACTCAGTAGCAAAATTACAATTATGAAGTAGTAATGGAATAGTTTTATGGTTGGATTGCCACACTATGAGGAACTGTATTAAAGGGTCTCTGCATCAGGAAGGTTGAGAACCATTGCTCTAAAACAAATGCAAACTGTATCTGTAGTTTCTGTCCGTTTCTTCTAGTCTGTATGACAGATCTTTTTGATGTCGGTTTCATTTATTTATTTATTTTGAGATAGGGTCTCACTCACTATGTAGCCCTGTCTGGTCTGGTACTTGCTATATAGAGTAGGCTGGCTTTGAACTCAGATCCTGCCTGCCTCTGTCCCCCTTCCCTATTTCCAATGCTTAGGATTAAAGACATGAGCCACCACACCCTGCTCCTGCGACACAATGTGGCAGCTTTGTGTCTTCTGCCCTGCAGAGAACTCTGCAGGTATGGCATCTCTGTCCCACCCCTGACTTAGATGTCTACAGACAGAAACTTGCTTTCCATGTTAACCGCTTTGTACTTCCTCAAATACGACACTGATCCCATTGTGTTCTGTCCCCAGTGGCACTGTCACCACTCTTCCCGGATACCCTGATTCTGGGTCTAGAGATTCGGGTAAAGGTGTCTGACTATGTACAAGACAGGATTCGGGCCCTGCGTGCGGCTCCCGGAGGTGGATTCCAGAACATCGCCTGTCTCCGCAGTAACGCCATGAAGCACCTTCCTAACTTCTTCCGCAAGGGCCAGGTGGAGCCTGGGGAGCCCCCCGGTGGGTAGACTGGTGGGGCTGCTGGGGAGCCAGGCACTCACAAGCCATCCTATCGGTGCCCATCTGTTCCACAGCTGACGAAGCTATTCTTCCTCTTCCCCGACCCGCATTTTAAGCGAACGAAACATAAATGGCGAATCATCAGCCCCACACTCCTGGCAGAATATGCCTACGTGCTGAGAGTTGGGGTGAGTTGGAATGGAAGGTGGTGTCAGTGGCCTACCTGGGGACTTCACCAAGAAGTAATGGGGGGCCCTTAGGCACTCAGACTGTCAGGCTCATCACCCCCTTGCTCAGTCGCCTGCAGCCATATGTGATAGAGTGATGTCGCTCCACAGGGACTGGTGTACACCATCACCGATGTGCTGGAGCTGCACCAATGGATGTGCACCCATTTTGAAGAGCACCCACTGTTTGAGCGTGTGCCCCTGGAAGAGCTGGTAAGTAGGATGCCTGAGGGAGATCCCAAGAATCCAGTCCTATTCAGAGTGGTCCTATAGTCTTTGAACTTAGCTCAGGACCAGGAGAGTGAGAGTCTGGAGACCAGGGCAGTTTGAAAGGTGGGCAGGGACATGTGGACCCTCTTTCTGCAGAGTGAAGATCCCATTGTGGAGCACCTAGGCACTTCATCTGAGGAAGGAAAGAAAGTTCTACGCAACGGAGGGAAGAATTTCCCAGCCATCTTCCGAAGAATCCAGGATCCCATCCTCCAGGCAGTGACCCCCAACACCACCCTGCCTGACCACTGACTTCTCGCCCTGCCCTTCTAGTGACTGGAAAAAAAGATCAGGATCAACTCCCCTTCCCAGACCTGGTGGGACTGAGGCCATGATCTCCTTCCAGAAGCCGGTGCAGCTCGTGTTCTTACCCATCGCTGACTCTTACTGCCTTCTTGCCCTTCCACAGAAGAAAGCAAAAGAAGCTGACTGAGAAGGTCAAAGGACCTTGGACCAGAGGGTGTGTGTGGAGGACTGTGGGGATTTTGTTCTCCCTCCTCCTTGTGGGTCTCTCCTCAGCTGGAATGAAGAGTGCAAAGCCCGATGTCTGAGCTGCCTGGGTGCTTGGCTCAGGTCCCTGTCTCCCATGTCGTCTGTCCCGTGTCTCCCCCTCCCCCATTGTGTTTACTCTGCAGTCCTGGGGATAAAGTGTGTGCCCACGTGCCCATGCTGCTATTTCCCAGAGAGGCTGGGGTGTGTGTCACGCGCCTCCCCCATGTTCTCCCCACTTACAATCTGACCCCAGCCATCCCTGCTGCTGTTATTGTTGTCTCTGTAGTATTGGAGAACAAGAGGGTAGAGACCCTTGCCTTTGCCATGTTGACCTTTGATTCCAGAACTTCAAAGTTGGCTGACTGGCATGGTACCTGATGGGGCGAGGGAGGCAAGGAGGAGGGGGAAAGGCAGAGGAGCAGGGAGCTCAACTAGGAAAAATTTTTAATTATTTGTATGTGTATGAGTGTTTGCCTACATATAGGTATGTGTACCACACTTGTGCCTGGGCCCTTGGGGCCAGAAAAGGGAGTTGGGTCTCCTGGAACTGGAGTTACATATGCTTGTGAGCTGCCACGTGGGTACTGGGAACTGAACCCTGCTTCTCTGTAAGAGCAGCTGGTGCTCTTTACTGAGAGCCAAAGCCGACCCCTGCTTCTCTGTAAGAGCAGCTGGTCCTCTTAACTGCTGATCATCACTCCGGCCCCAGAACTGTAGGATTCTGTGGCTCAGAGCAATCAGTGGCTGCTGACCACAAAGGTCCCCAAAAGGTTGAGTGAGCTTGGGGTTCAGGGGATGCTGAGCATCCTCTCCAAACTTCTCTACTTTGCAAAAATGAAAGAAAACCTTAGTATTATTACTGGGTTTTCAAGACAGTTTTTCTGTGTATCTCTTGCTGTCCTGGAGCTCGATCTGTAGAACAGGCTGACCTTGAACTCAGAGATCCACGAGTGCTGGGATAAAGGTGCGCCAGCACCGCCTGGCGTGTATTATTACTAACATTTCTTTGTGTATAGGAGGTGAGGGTGTGTAACACCACCGCCTGGTGTGTATTATTATTACTAACATTTCTTCGTGTGTAGGAGGTGAGGGTGTGCACAGCACATGTATAGTGAGTGGTGAGAAGACAATCCAATAGCATCAGTTCTCATGTTTACTATGTGTGTGTTCTGGGATTAAACTCAGGTCATCAGGTTTTGTGTCCAGTACATTTACTTGCTGAGCAATCTTACTGCCCCCCCCTTTTTTTTTTTTTTTTTTTTTTTTTTGGTTTTTTTCGAGGCAGGGTTTCTCTGTATTGTTTTGGAGGCTTTCCTGGAACTCTCTTTGTAGACCAGGATGGCATCGAACTCACAGAGATCTGCCTGCCTCTGCCTCCCGAGTGCTGGGATTAAAGGGGTGTGCCACCAACACCCGGTGACATGCCTTCATTTCTGTTCCTCAAACCCTAATCCCCATGTCTGAAAGGAAGGAACTTACTGAGCTAAGAAACTCCCTTCCCAAAGAAACAGAGATGGAGTCTGGAGAAATGGCTCAGTGGATAGGAACAATCAATCTTCTTCCAGAGGACTGGAAATCAAATCTCAACACCCAAGGAGGGTGGTGCATAGCTGCTTGTATGTAGCTCCAGTTCCAGGAGATCCAGTGTCCTCTCCTGCATTCCAGACAGCTGCAGGAAAACATACTGCACCAACATGCATATGCACAGTTTAAAATCTTTGAAGGGGCTGGAGAGATGGCTCAGAGGTTAACAGCACTGGCTGCTCTTCCAGAGGTCCTGAGTTCAATTCCCAGCACCCACATGGTGGCTCACAACCATCTGTAATGATATCTGGTTCCCTCTTGTGGCCTGCAGGCAGCCATGCATGCAGAATATATATGTATACATACTAAAAATCTCTGAAAGGAAAGGACTGGAGCTATGGCGCAATGGTTAAGAGTACTTGTTGCTTTTGTAGAGAAGCTGGGTTCAGTCCCCAGCACCCACAGGTGGCTCACAACCATCTATAATTCAGTTCAGGAGATCCACTCCCTCTTCTGACTTCCACGTGCACCAGGGAGACATCACACAAGCATGAGGGCAAATCATGCACATAAATCTAAGGGGTTGGAGAGATGACTCAGAGGTTAAGAGCACTGGCTGCTCTTCCAGAGGTCCTGAGTTCAATTCCCAGCACCCAGCACGCACAGCCATCTTTAATGCGATCTGGTGCCCTCTTCTGGCCTGCAGGTATCATTTTAACCCGTTAACCCACATGTGGCCTGGCCTCAATGTGTCAAGCATAGGAAGAAAGAAAGGTGTGGTTAGTGCAGGTAAAGCCCACAGCAGAGAAGAGGCAATCCAAGGAGCAGCTGAAACTGCCTTCCACCTAGTTTCCATTCAGGGTGTGATAGGGAATGAAGAATTCCCAAGAATGGGCCTGAAGAGACTTGTCTCCCCCGGAGAGGTGGTGGGAATATGAGGTACTGGCTTCTGAAACCCATAAAATAGCCTGTCCCAGGAAAAGAACCTTAGGCTGCCACCCTGGACCAAAGCATTAATGCAAGAGGAGCACTGGGGCAGCTCTGATGTAATGCTTACCACACGAACCCACAAGAGCCCCAGCCCCGCCTACCATTCCTGGGTGCTGCGTTCCTGCACAGACCACCCTGCAAAAGGGATTGGCTGGAGAGCGGGAGAGGGGCGTCCTCACCTCTAGGGCCAAGGGTTATAAAGGGGTTCAGGCAAGGGCAAAAGATGCCCCAGAGGAGTGTGGCTGGCTCATTGAACATTAAACATGGCCCAGGCTGTCAAGCTCGCATCCAGAGTGCTCCATCGAGTCCACCTGCCTCCACAGCTGGATGCCTCGCTGGCCTCCAGGGGTTCTGACTCCCGTCTCCGGAGTTTGTCTGACATCCCTGGGCCCTCTATGCCTGGCTTCCTGGCAGAACTTTTCTGCAAAGGGGGGCTGTCTAGGCTACATGAACTGCAGGTAAGACGGGCAGTGGTTACCATTGGTGGGACTGAGCCTGGAGAACTAGCTTAAATGGCAGAAAGGACCACAGTGACGAACACAGACAGAACGGAGGGACAGTGAGAATGAGTACCTGTGGGTCATGAACTAGAGATGGTTCTACTACCCCACAGTCTATTCCCACAGCCGGCAAAGAGATGTACGCTCACTTTATAGACGGGAAAACCTGCAGATCCAGGACAAGAGTGCATGCGGGAGGGGTGAGAGCAATGTGCTATCCTTCAGATCTGGCTTAAAGCTGTGCGTTCCTTTTTTCTTACCGGAGGCTCGTCTTGAGGAGTCTTGAAGAAACTGCTCCCCCTAGGCTAGAGCCAGATATCTAAAGAGAAGTCCTCAATGTCTGCATTATGCAAAGTTCCTCTATTTTGCCATTCACGCTCAAACTTTCATGGGATGGAAGAAAAAGTTAGCCACATCTGGACCGGCACTGGGAAAAGCTCCTCTTTCCCGAGCCTAGCCAATGCCCTTGGCCTTGGCACAGCCAGACTGACAGTCACCCTCCCAAGTGTTCAAACGTCTTCTGTGCGGGTTCTCTCAGGTGCAGGGAGCTGCGCGCTATGGGCCGATATGGTCCGGCAGCTTCGGAACCCTTCGCACAGTGTATGTGGCCTCCCCAGCACTTGTGGAGCAGTTGCTGAGACAGGAGAGTCTCTGTCCCGAGCGCTGCAGCTTCTCATCTTGGGCAGAGCACCGTCGCCGCCACCAGCGGGCTTGCGGATTGCTAACAGCGTGAGTTAACCCCCTGGCCCCCTGACCTCCAGTCCCCCATTCGCTGTCCGACTCCTATGTCCAGTCAAGATGGGCTTGGAGGAAGGTGGGCATTTTCCTCCAACCTTCTGGCATCTCCGGGTTCTCCAGTCTGTACTGCTGAGTCCTAGCCTCTCGCCCCTCCCCCCACTTTTGAGGCCAGAATCCTAGGAACCCGTGGGATGGGCCAGGGTACTGGCATCTGGATGGAATGGGAATGCGAGCCACTCCCATCCCGGTAAAGAGGAAGGGAGATGGAAGATGGGCAAGGTCAGGAGCAGCTTTCTACACTCGGAGGGAAGAGGCGCAATACTTCTGTCTTCCACACACGCTCACCTCCTCTGATGCGCGCTCTCTCCACCCGGGCAGGGATGGCGAAGAATGGCAGAGGCTCCGGAGTCTCCTGGCCCCGCTACTCCTCCGGCCTCAAGCAGCCGCTGGCTATGCTGGAACTCTGGACAACGTGGTCCGTGACCTGGTGCGACGACTGAGGCGCCAGCGGGGACGTGGCTCTGGGCCACCCAACCTAGTTCTGGACGTGGCGGGAGAGTTTTACAAATTTGGTCTAGAAGGTGAATCCTAAAACAGAGTCTGGGACAGGTGTAGGTGGCATTGGGTCCTTAGACGCCTGGTGTCTGACTGCGCCACCTTCCGGCCAGGCATAGGCGCGGTGCTGCTGGGTTCGCGCCTGGGATGCCTAGAGGCTGAAGTCCCTCCCGACACAGAGACCTTCATCCATGCGGTGGGCTCGGTGTTTGTGTCCACACTCTTGACCATGGCAATGCCCAACTGGATGCACCGCCTTGTACCCGGACCCTGGGCCCGCCTCTGCCGAGATTGGAACCAGATGTTTGCTTTTGGTAATGCACAGAAGTGTGTGTGTGGGGGGGGGGGGGCTGGAGTATCTAAAGCTGCGCATCAGCTTGCCTTCCTTCTCAGCCCAGAGGCACGTGGAACAGAGAGAAGGCGAAGCAGCCGTGAGGAGACAGGGAAAGCCTGAGGAGGACGTGCTGTGTGGTCATCACTTAACCCACTTCCTTTTTCGGGAAAAGTTGTCTGTCCAGTCCATCGTGGGGAACGTGACAGAGCTACTACTGGCTGGAGTGGACACGGTGAGAGTCACTCTAGTCCGACTTTTAGAGTGTCATTGCCCCCTGACTCCAGGGCCACTTTTTTGATTCAGGGGATCCACTCTGGTCATGTATCCAGGCTTGGCCTTAGTAATTTTTTAGTCCCTGACCAGCCCCCCCCATGCTACCCCCTCACTGGGATTCCCATGTCTAACACCTCAGATGACCTCGCCTGTTCCTGCAGGTGTCCAATACGCTCTCCTGGACGCTCTACGAACTGTCCCGGCACCCAGAAATCCAGTCTGCTCTTCACTCTGAGATCACAGCTGCCCGGGCCCCTGGCTCGGGTGCCCATCCCCAAGCCACTGCTCTGTCCCAGCTACGCCTGTTGAAGGCTGTGATAAAAGAAGTGTTAAGGTGAGGGGGGAGAAACGTAGGGACTAGAGAAAACGCTGGAGGAGAGCCGGAGCAGCTGACAGAGGACGGAAGCCAGTGAGAAGAGAGAACTCGACCCCTGAGGAGGAGGGGGGGGGAGCCCAGCTCCCCAGCCTTACCCTGACGAACCCATCTTGTCTTGTGACCTAGACTGTACCCTGTAGTACCTGGGAATTCCCGTGTCCCAGACAGAGACATCTGCCTAGGTGACTACATTATCCCCCAAAATGTGAGTAGATCCTTCTGCTAAGCCATTCCTTACCCCCATCAGTCCAAGCCATCCTCAGACACTCCCCAAAGCCTTTCCAGACCGCCCCCCCTTAGTCATGATACCTCTTTCTAAGATATAATAGAGCAGTAAAGAAAAAGTTCTCCACCAGCAGCCAGGACCTATTTTTAAACTAGTCCCCAGATCCTCTTCTTCACAGACTCCCATCCTGCATTCTCAAGCTCAGGCCAATAACTCGGTGCTTTTGGGGCAAGGGGGAGGAGTGTTGAAATGGGATCTTGCTGTATAGCCTCAGCTGGCCTTGAACTCATCATCCTCTTGTTTCCTGAGGGCTAGAATTGCAAGTGTGGACACAAAACCTGGCTACTGACTGAAACGTTTGCATTTATTTCCCACCAGACACTGGTCTCTCTATGTCACTATGCCACTTCACGGGACCCTGCTCAGTTTCCAGAGCCAAACTCTTTCAATCCAGCTCGATGGCTGGGGGAAGGTCCAGCCCCCCACCCATTTGCATCTCTTCCTTTTGGCTTTGGCAAACGCAGCTGCATAGGGAGACGCCTGGCAGAGCTTGAGTTACAAATGGCTTTGGCCCAGGTGAGTGGCCTAGAACTTATACCATTCCCCAACTGGAAAGGCCCAATAAACGTGGGTACTCTTGTCCTTTGACAAACATAGCGAAACAGGTAAGACTCAGCAGACAGTTCCACTGACAATTCCATTAGAGGTCAGGAGTATAAGCAAAAACATTTGGACTATCATTTTCCCTTCCATAATCGGGGCCTGCCCTCATTGACCAAGAAGTCCCTTATTGGTCACAGATGCCATCCCGGCAATGGCCATTCTGATGCTAATATGTCCTTTATCAATCAAGGATGCATTCTAGACCCATCCATAGTGATAACCTTCTTCCTCCCTTCCTAGATATTGACCCACTTTGAGGTGCTGCCTGAGCCAGGTGCTCTCCCGGTCAGACCCATGACCCGGACTGTCCTGGTACCCGAGAGGAGCATCAACCTTCAGTTTGTAGACAGATAGTCCTATGGAAGGAAGAAGTTGCCATCTGCCCTCTCTCTCTCCAAACTGGACACTCTTTATTAGGCACCAGAGGCACACTTTCCCTTGAGGCCTGCCTGGCCGAGCAAACCTGAGGAAGCAGGACCTGGCCTGTGTGTAAAGCGTGTACTTGGTCTGACTCAGCAGGTCTTCACAGAGCCCATGCTCCTTTCTCCTGCTCAGTAGTTCTCCTGGTCATTCCGCAAGGCCTAAAGCCATGAGATTTTAACACATCCTTAAAGGACCAACTGGGATGTTACCTAACAACCCTGGGTGTCCTGGAGAGGGATTCAACCCGTTCCTCCGGAGTTTACACTGTGTTCACCGACATGCTGTCTAAGCATTTACTGAGGCGTGAGCTAAGTGATTGTGCATCTGCTGTGCACCTGGTTGGGTCTCTCCTAAGTATGTGAGTGATGAAGCCTCATTGGTCTACTGTCCTTGAATTCACAACCCTCTTTACCGCCTCCCCAAGTGTTGGGGTTACAGCCATGAACTACCACTTCCAGATTTATCAATCTCTATACCTCCCGTCAGGGTCTATCTCTGACTATAGGACACCATGGACATTCTCAGTGTGAACTGTCTGCCCTGCCCCTTTTCTCTCTTAATCTTGCCCCTAGGTAGTGAACCTGCCCTAGCCTAGTTTACCATATTTTTTAAGCTTCCCTTGGCTCTTTGGCCACTCACAAGTGGGTCTGCCCCACTTTTTACTAACCATCTATTGGGTTGCCCCATCCTATCCCCCTTGTCTGTCTTCTTTTTTATATTGAAAAATTATATTATTAAGTTTTAAAATAAAATGTTTACTCCTTGGCTTTGGGTTTACTCTTCTCCCACTCCTGGCAAGACCCTGACCTCTGTCTCTTGCCTTGGTTTCTCAGGTCCTAGGAATAACTCCCTCAACAATGGGAGGTCTAGATGATCGTCTGGAAGAGTGTTTTGTGACAAACCCAGGCATGTTTCTATGCTTAGTGGAAACAGCCAAGTCTAGTCTGGCATCCTGGAAGATTAAGAGGTGGTGGTGAATAGAAAGTGGAGGAGCTAAGTTGGAAAATGGGTCTGGGTGCTAAGGGTTTTGCTGATTTGGGTTAGAGGTGGCTTGACTATGGCTAGAAAAGAGCTTTTGGAACCTGGATGGCCAGAATCGAAGGGCGTCCTAGGATGTCCACTCTACCCCCTTTAAAGAAAGACAGGGATACAGGCAGGAAAATGGAGTCAGCCAGGCAGGATGAAGGCAGAATGGGAGGTGACCAGGGGCCCTGGAGCACTGAGGCAGAAAGAGCCAGGCCAAGAGAACCTGTTTCCCTGAGTCGAAACTCTCTGACCACCCTCCTAGACTGCACACAGTCCAACCCTTGTGATATATCCAGACTAACTCATCCTCCATCCAAATGATGTCTCAGCACTCTGTACAGCTCCCAGATTACCCTCCCATGTTGGGACTTGCCTTTCTCCTTCCCTCCCTCCCACTCTAATTAGCTAGTTGTAGATGCTGCCTCACACTTCCTCTACCCCATCCCAAACATGGCTCCCTAACCACAGGATTTCCCGTGGGGATCCAATCACGCGTGATCTAGAGAAGCAGGGCATGCCTAGAAGCCTTGTGGAGAGACCAAGGTTTTTGTACATTCCTTACTCCTCCCTCTCGTCTCTCCTGTATGCTCTGGACCAGCTTCTGCTCACCCACCACCAAGTTCAACTTAAACATAAAATACCTGCGCTTTAGCAGATCTGAGCCGGGAGGGAGAGTATAGCCTAAGCGATGAGACCTGTTACCCTGGAGTCAATAAAGCATTGACCCTCCTGTGCTGACCAGTGACTAGACAGAAATGCTACTTTGAAGAGGCAGCAGTGTCTATGACCCCTCTCCTGGACAACGGTCTGTGTAAACTTGGAAACAGGCAAGAGATTATATTGATAGCTGCCCACAGGCACCATTGGTGCTAGAGGAGAGGGGAAAGTGGGCCTTGGGGTCTCAAAGTGCACATGGATGTGTGTGTATGTGTGTGTGCGCACGCGCATACGTGTGCGTTCTTAAGTGTGCCCAAGCTTCCATGAAGAGCCACCATGAGGAACATCTCGGCTTGGTCCAGAAGTCCCATGTGTGTCTTATCTACCCAAGTTCCTTCTGCCAGCACAAACATTAGCAATCACTAGTTTTCTGTTCCCCATCTGATCGCCACTAACTCTTCCATTAACACGCAATCAATCAAGTCTGACCCCTCTATTCCCTGGTGGGAGGAAATAGAGACTGTCTCTGGAAGAATTTCCTACCAGCGATCTGGAGAGCTCAGCACCGGACCCTCCTCACTCACACTTGAAAGACAGTCAGACCCCTCACCCAGCGCAGCCACGGTTCCTACACCCACAAGTGAAACTGATCTCAGCACCATGGACAGCAGCCAAAGCACAAAACACTACCACCACCCCATTTCTGGACAGGCATGGAGCAAGGGCAGATGGGCTGTTAGGAGACAAGCATTTTTTTTCCAAACTTTCCCAAGAGGAGGCAAAGCAGAAACTTCTATTAGAGGACCAATAATAAGAAATGCCTCCGGGCCAGGTGGTGGCACACACCTTTAATCCCAGCACTCGGGAGGCAGAGGCAGGTGGATCTCTGTGAGTTGGAGACCAGCCTGGTCTACAAGAGCTAGTTCCAGGACAGCCTCCAAAGCCACAGAGAAAGCCTGTCTCGACAAACCAAAAAAAAAAAAAAAAAAAAGCCTCCGGATCTGACTTCAGCAATGTATGAAGGAATTTTTTAATTGCTCATGAATGGTTCATTTAATAGACACCATCATTCACATAATACCCAGACCCCAGGCTTAAGGAGGAAGGATCAAACTTCAAACTGGCCCACATAACTTTTTTGGTGGTATGGCAATTAAACCCAGGACCTCATGCACACCAGGCAAGTACTCTACAACTGACCCACACCCCCAGCCCTCGGACCCACATTTACCAAAACAACAGCCCTCCTATTGACCTTCCAGTAATACCACTAGCTGGGCACACCTGGATCAAGGGTGTGATCCTGAACCGCCGCAGTTTCAACTGGCATTAAAGACTTAACACCGAAGGAGGAGGTTCCTTCCCTTGTCACTCTAAATGAGTTCATGTTCATCTCACACCACTTTTGCAGGGGACACAGTCCCTGGAAAGGACTGAGAGAACACAGGCATTCTCAGAACAAGCTGAGTGGCTCCAGCATCCCCCAAGTCCAATGTTCGGAGGGTCAAAAGCCTTATCGTACCTACAATAACCACCATTCTGCACAGTCACTGCGTCTATTTCTCTTTTCCTTTCTGTATCTATTTTGCCACTCAAATTGCTAACGTTGTGTGCCACATCTGACCAAACAAACAAACAAAAAAAAAAACAAACAGATTTTGGGATTTGCTATACCACCTACTACTTGAAATAAGTGGACCCCTCAACCAGTCCAGAGCTCCTTTTATACCATTATCAAATTTTTTTGTAGCAGCATTTAACCCCTCATCCCTCATTTATCCTCATTCCCAGTCTCTGAGGTGGGGGGGGGGGAGCTAGGATTTTTTTTCTAAATCATGTAACTCACAGGTGGCCAGTCCAGGGTCCTCTGCCACCTCTGAGCACCACGGCCTAGCAGCCAGTGTGAGCCGTCCAGGGCAAGCAGGAGCCCTCCTCCAACTCCAATGCACCTATGTTGAGGAACCTCCCCATGCCCTCCAGCCCTTCAGAAAAGCCCCATATGAGAAAGGAGTCTCCACGTGCATATAAATGATTCTTTATGCCCTTCCCCCATGCAATGGGGGGTGGGGCAGGGGGGGAGTCCCCCCCGCCCTCATGCAGGGAACGGGAGGTCAATGTTTGCGAGTCTTATTGCCAGATGCCCTGTGGCCATGGGGTGGGGGATGGGGGGTCTACAGCCCCTTTTATTCTGGCACTGGTCTCCCATTACCAAGTCACCATGGTGGAGTCAGGGGACTGGAGGCCCTAGAGCTGAGGTAAAGATGGTTCTCTCCAAGAAGAAAAGCTGTTCTTCCCGCCTGCCTGCTGGCCATCCTCAAGATGAGTGTGAGGCGGTGTCGGTGGGAGCTGGAATGTCATCCAGGTGTCTCTACCCCGTGGGCAGTAGAGGTCAGACAATGTCTCCAAGCTTGAGGCTGTCCACAGAGATCCTCAGTGGTGGGGCCACTGTGCCCCAAACACCTTGTCTAGGTCGTACCTCCAGCAGCCAAGAGAGCTCGTCTCTGGCTGCCACTCTGACTTGAGATCCCTGGCCCTGGAGTCCAGGTCAAACTGTGGTGACTCTCATGACAACCTCTCGTCCTGAATGAGAGCTGGACCGGGCATCTGGTGGCCGTAGCTGTCCAAGGAGATGCAGGATTGTATAACCACAGCGCTGAGGCAAGAGCGTCCGCATGCGCTGGGCGGCTGGGGGCCGGTTGGGGGCCCCGGCTGGGGGGCTGGTCCGTGAGGTCCTGGGGCCTGGCTTCCCCGCTGCCCCTCCCCCTGCATCTCCTCCTATGTCCTTGGTCTTGTCATAATTCAGGACTTTCCACTGCTGGTTCACTGCCTGCCAGCGCTTGAAGATGCGGTAGACAGAAGAGCCTTCGTGAACAATGAGGCCTGAACGAGAGGAATGAGAAGACGGGGTGAACTGCTACCCACACATAGGCCGTGGGTTCTTGAGCACTCCTCTCTGCAGACCGAGAAGACAGCTACAGAGAGCGGGGCCCCAGGGTAGCCCTAACAGTCTCTGAGGATGGGGTTTTGGCAGTGAAACTGAAAAGGATGGGCAGGAAGTTAGGTGAACGAGTAAAGGAGGGTGCTAAGCAGGTAGGGAGAGATCTGTGTCCTCACCTATACAGACAACATCCATGAAGCCGTACATGCCGTAGCAGATCTGGAAGAGCAGGTCCTGGCGCTGCCACTTGGCTGAAGGGCTGAGTGAGGACCAGATGAGCCAGGAGATGCTGGCGACGAGGAACAGGGAGCCCAGAACTATGGCGGCAATCTGAACCTTCTCGATCACAGTCAGGGAGATGGCCTGCCACTGCACGGGAGAAAGATGCTCCAAAAAGTCACAGGAAGGGCAGTGGGGTGATGGGGCCACCCTGAAGCGAAGACTCCAGAGTCTCCCTAAACTCTTCAGACAGGACTAAACACCTGTCTTCTCCATGTCCCTATCTAACCTACGATGGGACTACCACCACTGGTCTAGGAAGGCAGGACTGGACAAGTGCTTTGAAGCCCAAATGTACAGGTTGGCACTCCAATCTTAACTCCATCTCTTAACTCCACAAGTCTTTTTAGTCTCTACAGGTGTAAGTGCCCTTGTTTCTAAAGGGTACCTAGTTAAAAGAGTTAATAAACAGCAAATCTCATACAGGAAACAGAGTATATTCACTATCATCATTAACATTATCTTCCCCCCATTGTTCTAGGTTCCCTAGAATAGGGCCACAACGTAAGGAGCTTGGAATGCCATAATGGTGGAGGGAGGTGGCTTCGGGAAAACAGTTAATAAGATAAACTAGGCCTTCGCCCATTCTGAGTCCTCTCCTGGTACCTCACCTGCAGCGGGTTCTTGGTGCTGATAGCCAGGACCTGGTACTTGAAGTAGCAGAGTTCACAGCTCCAGGAGCCTCTCTCACTGATCCAGCGGATGAGGCAGGGCTGGTGTGTACAGCGCACTGAGCCGTCACAGCGACAAGGGCTCAGGAGCTCCCCCTGGAGGAAGAGAGGGGAGGGCCGTCAGCCATCATCACCCGGACCCTTTCTGCTGTACGCCTGGAGAGAAAACCGCTTACACCACATACATTTAAAAACTCAGTCTTTTTACCCAAAGAACAGCAAGAGGCCAAGGCCGCAGTATAAAAGTCAGAGATCGAGAAAAACTTATCCAACCAAAGGGATTAAATTTGGGGTGGGAGGGAAGGCCGCGTCTTCCCTTTCCTAGAAACTGCAAAGGTGATTAAGACAGCTTAGAGGGGGGACCTCTCCCTAGGATCTAGAGGGAGCGGCTGAGCTGTGCCTTCCTTCACCCACTCCACGTACTTCAGTACACAGATCTGGTGCCAACTGGGATGGACAAAACCCACCGTGGTTCCCACACTGAAATGGGGAGACATTCTAGGGGCAAGAGTGTAACATGTTTCCCTTTAGTCAAGCAGTCATTTCTCACTGCACAGAGACGCCCTCCGGCACTGTCCCGGGACAACTTTACCTATCAAATTAAACAAAGGGTCTTTAAGAATGAGGTGGAAAGTTGCAGGATGGAAGCAAAAAGTGCCTCCCCAGAGGAAATGCTGGGTGGAGCAGGGTCCTGGCTGGCCCCTCCCCTCAAGGTGCGCACAAATGTGCTCTCCTTTCAGCCCACCTCGGAAAGAAAAGGCTCCCTCAGCTGATGGAGACGACCCTAACTAAGGTGAGGGGAGCAGGTGCGGACAACTGCTTCTGATGATGGGTGACAGAGAGCCTGAGTCCTCCTACGAGAGAGCCCCACCCCATCCTGGGAGCCCCCGACTCTCCCTTACTCCAATCTTGACATACTCCAGGAGTCTCCATCCAGGCCAAGCTCACCCCACTCCCACTCGGGGTCCTGGGTCCCGCCCAGCTCCCCCAGGCCCCGCCCCCTGCTCCGGTCTCCGCGGACACCCCAGGTGCGCGCCCCCACCCCTCCCCGCCCAGCCCAGCCCAGCCAGGTGCTCGGGCGGGCGAGCCTGACCTGCTCCGGGCCTTGGAAGCAGATCCTGCACTGGGGGGTTCGGAGCCCGCTGTCCAGGCTGCTGCTGAGAGACAGGGCGTCCAGCGCGCCTGGGGGCGGCGGCGGCGGCGCCGGCGGTGGCGGGGGTCCGACCCGCGGTTCCTTGTCGCCGGCCAGGCCCCGGACCCGCGGCTCCGACCCGTAGTACTCCTCCTCGTCGCCGTCGCCGTCCCGGGCGGAGCAGCCAGCGAAGGGCGCCCAGCCGCAGCCGCCTCCCCCGCCCCCCCGGGGCTGCGGCTCGGCCCGGGGCCGCCCCCCGCCCGTCAGCACCAGCAGCTTCAGCTCGTTCAGGAACATGCGGAGCCGAGACTTGAGCATCGTCCGGGCGCCGGGGGGCCGGGGGGCGGCGAGCGAGGGGGGCTCCCGGGCGGCGGGGGGAGGGGCGAGGACAAGGCCGGGAAGGGGGCGCGCGCGGGAGCGCCGGACCGGGCCGGGGTCTCCGCGGCCTGCAAGCGCCGCTCACTGCTGCCACCGCCGGGGCTACAGGGCTCGCGGGGCCGAGAGGGCCGTCAGCCCGGGGTCGGCAGGGTGGGCAGGCATGGCCCGGGCAGGGGCAGGGGGCGGGGAAGGGGCTCAGGGTGCCGCGCCCCGCGGGTCGGGGTCCGGAGCCGGCCGGGCGCCGGGGCTTACGCGCCCCGGTCCTCCTGCGGCGGGGCCGCCCCCCATCGCCGTGCTCCCGGCCCCAGTCCCGCTCCGACTCCCGGATCCGGCTCGGCTCGGCCCGTGCGCTCGGCGGTGGCAAATGGCGGCTCCTTCCGGCGGCGGCGGCGGCGGAGACCCCCCCGGAGCGGCGGGCGGGCGGGGCGGGAGCCGGGGAGCCGGTGAGGGATGGAGGGAGGGGTGGGGCGGGGAGGGGGGAGCGGAGGAGAAGGGGCCGCGGCTGCGCATCCCCGCCCTGCCCAGCACGAGCAGGTGTCCCCAGGGGCGGGGCGAGTGTGCGAGACAAGGAAGGAGGGAGGGGAGGAGGGGAGTGGCCAACGAAGGGGAGTGTGTACCCCGGGAGAAGAATAGGTGTGTGCGCGCGCGCACGGGTGGGAGTGAGGCTGGAAGGTGAGTCGTCCAAGGCTTGCAGGTGTAACGAGGCACAGAGGTCTGTGCACAATGGGAGCGTGCAAAGGAAGAGCTCTGCAAGGGGTTATGGACGCGTGCGAGAGTTGAGTGGGCAAGAGGTGGACCCTAGTAACACACAAAAGATTATAAAGGGTGCCGGGTGCGGGACTGAGATAGATGGTGGTGTGCAGGAATGGAACCAGACCGTGTGAGAAACCAGCGATTGTTTCCAATGTGTAAAGGTGGTGTGTGAGCAGAAACAGGAATGCCAAAGGGATAGGTGTGTCTTTCTTGCTACCCCCCCCCCGCCCCCGCCCTCAGCTCCACTACTCTGGAGTGAATGCCACACATACACGCTTAAATCTTTGTTTCAAGTTGACCCCTAGAGGTACTACCAGCCTATCAGTTTTTTTTTTCAGCTTTATATTTACACCCTTCCTCTCAGCCTCTTTGTGAAGCTGAGGGAAAAGGATTCCCGGGGAACCCACCGGGTCAAAAACACTGAGAAAAAAATTAATTAGTAAAAGAGTAATTAACAGAGACAGGAGGGGATGAGCAAGTCGAACCAGGGATAGATTGCCAAATTGAGACTCCTCACTGGAAAGTGGTATCGAAGGCAGTCGTGTTTCTGCAAAATGTCCAGGACTGATGAATGGGGAGGGGGGAGTCTGTGAGTTAAACAAAGAAGATAGTTTTTCCTGTGAGGACAGCAAACTGCAGTGTGCTCATATAAGAGGCACAGAAGCAGGTAATACCTGTATTGGGAAAACCAAACCAACCAACGAAACAAACAAAAAAGCAAAAATAAATAAAGCCGGTCCATTGATGGCCTCTAATCCCAGCACTCGGGAGGCAGAAGCAGGCAATCTCTGAGAGTTTGCGGCCAGCCTGGTCTACACAATGAGTCTTTCCCTGCCTCAGGGGAAAAAGCAAAACAAAGCAAAAAACAAAACAGTGTTGCGAGTTTAACAAGTTCACAGACACTTAGCCTTTCAGAAAGCTAAAATCCCCAAACAGCACTATGAATGTAGCCAATGGAACACCCACTTCTCCAGCCACTTAGCCAATTTAGGCTCTGATATTTTTCTTCAGTCTCCTTGGCAGCAAGAAGCAGTAGAGCAGCAGAAGAAATCTAAGGGGACTGTGGTGGCGTCCCCTTAATCCCAGCACTCGGGAGGCAGAGGCAGGCAGATCTCTGTGAGTTCCAGACCAGCCTGGTCTACAAGAGCTAGTTCCAGAACAGCCTCCAAAGCCACAGAGAAACCCCGCCTCAAACCTCCCTCCCCCAAAAAGGAGGAAATCTGCCTGATGTGCCGTCCATTTTGTCCTTGATTATGATTTATGTTAATTTTTGAGTCTATACTGTTAAAATGACATTCGTGTGTGTGTGTGTGTGTGTGTGTGTGTGTGTGTGTGTGTGTGTGTGTGTACATATACATCCACTCTCCACACCCCTCTCAGACAGTTTGATTGTCCTGGCTAACATGGAACTCACTAAATAGATCAGGCTGACCATCCACCTGCCTCTGCCTCCCACACCCCTTCTGGAATTAAAACATGTGTCCCACCACTGGTACATTCTCAATCAGAAAAGAAAGAATAGAGGTTAGAATGGAATACATGACAAATCAGGTAATAAAATATTTTCGAGATGGGTGTGGTGGCTCAGGTCTGGAATCCAAGCACTTGGACTTCAAAGCAGAGTCTCTGAAGTCCTCAAAGTAGGCCAGCCTGGGCTACATGGCGAGACACAAGGAGGAGGAGGAGGAAGAGAATAAGAGAAGAAAAGAAATTGATTGTGATTCATGCCACTATCCTTAGTGCTGGGAGATGAAACAGTAGGACCCAGCAACCAAGCATTTGAGGCTTGCCTAGTTACATGCCTATTCCAAGGCCAACCTGGGCTATACGACACCTTACTCATCAAAACAAAATTCCACAGTAGCTGCTCATGTCTGTGAAAACAGCAATAGGAAGCTAACGCACAGTGATTGCTGTGAGCTTAAGACCAGCTTCAGCTATTCTGAGTCAAATATGATTTCAGAGTTTAGTGTTTGGGAGCATAGCACAGGGATTGAACGTATGCTTACCACACAAGAAAACACTGACACCAATCCCTAGCTTAAAAAACCAATTTTATTTTATTTTGTGACAGAATTTCCCTGTGTAGCTTTGGCTATCCTAAACTAGCTCTATAGACCAAGGAGGTCTCAAAGTCACACAGATCAGCCTGCTTCTGCCTCCTCTGTGCTGGGATTAAAGGCATGAGCCACTGCCACCTGGCTAAAATACAATTTTAAAACAGCTGTAGGCCGGGCGTTGGTGGCACACGCCTTTAATCCCAGCACTCGGGAGGCAGAGGCAGGTGGATCTCTGTGAGTTCGAGGCCAGCCTGGTCTACAAAGTGAGTTCCAGGACAGCCTCCAAAGCTACAGAGAAACCCTGTCTCGAAAAACCAAACAAAAACAAAAACAAAAACAAAAACAAAAACAGCTGTAGATTTTAGACAGTTTCTCACAGATGGGTACATGGTCCTTTATTTCCCCAAATGGTGGGAGACAATAAAGGACTTGGAGCCCACAACACAACGAATGCCAAATCTACCTGTCTACCTAGATTTCTGTGGACACAGACACTTGGGAATTATCACTACGGGCAAGAGTAGCTCTAAGAAAGCTGCACTGAAAATAAAAAGGAATGTGACACCAATGAGGAGTCCCAGGTTTGCAGAGGGACACAAAACGTTCTCAGGCAACGTGGTGGTCTGAAGTGGTGTCTGTGACCACCCTAGTACACGTTTGCTCACCGTTTAGTCTGTTCGTGTGCACAATCACATACATATGTAACAGAATACAGAATCTTGGCGTTAAGAGCCTTTTAAAATCAAGCACCCTGCTGGGCGGTAGTGTCACATGCCTTTAATCTCAGAATCCCAGCATTTGGGATACAGAGGCAGGCGGATCTGTGTGAGTTTCCAGGCCAGCTTCTACAGATAGAAACCCTGTCTGAAAAAACAAAACCAACCAAACAAACAGATCAAGCACCCTTATTTCCAATAACTCATTGCTGCTTTTGATATTCCCAGGGAGGTTTGCAAGTTGGATGAGTGGAGGGCATTATGTTGCCACTTTTCCCATACAGTGACTGAGTATATTAATTCTGCTGTCCATCTTTTAGTTTCCTCCTCGAGTAGGAATCATCTACTCCTTGTTTCATAAGGGGCCACACTTGCCTACATTAGATATCCTTACCATTACTGCAAAGGGCGAGTGGCTGAGACACCACAACAAAAACATCGCATATCAACTGGAAGGGAGCCCTTAGTAAAATTTTTGTTGAATGAATGAGTAAAAGGAAGGCACAGTATACGAACGCTCCATCCCCATGGCTTTGGAGTAGAAAATTTGACAGTCCCATCTCTGGTACCAGGATCACCCACTTGCACCCCGACCTCCCCGCCCACGTACAGACAAGGAGTGAGACGAGAGATGCGCACAGGCTCGGCCTTGAGCCCAGTGTTGGGAGCTGGCTGGCCCGGTTGCCATAGCACCGCATAGTGCTCCACCCTCCCTCGCCCCCACACACCCCCCTCGGCAGTCAGAGACTGGCAGCGGGTCACGTGGCACACGGCGTAGCCACGCCTCTGCTTCCCAGCGCAGAGCCTAGGTCACGTGGGATAGCAACAGATCACGTGGTCGCGCTGCGTCCCCGCCCCCTCCCACCCATTTCCCAGGTCATCCACTGCGCATGCATGCATGCATGGATGGATGGGGATGGATGGATGGATGGAGACCACGTGTCCGCCGCGAACGTCCGGCGTTCGCCCCGCCCCCTCCCTCCCCCTCCCCCCCCTCCCCGGTTTCCGCGCGCCTCTCTGACTGCTGGTCACATGGGGAGGGTGGGGGTGAGGGGGGGCCTCTCTAGCTCGCGGCCCGTGTCTATGGTCTGGCCCGTAGCGTCCTGCTGCCCGGGACCGATCCCCGGTGTATGGCGCCGCAGGAACCGGCTCCCGGGCCCAGATAAGGGGCCACCTCCGCAGCTCTTGGCCGGGCGAGAGGTGAGTGCAGCCGCCTGCAAGGATGGGGGCCCGGCGCCCCGCCACCACCCCATCGATCCCCTCGTTGTGGAAGGGTGGCCTAAGGGCGGGAAGCGGGGCCTTTGTGGTCGCGGGCCAGCGTGTGATTTTAGGGAATAAAGTGTGCAACCTTCGATGCCCACGCCGTGCAGTGTGCCGATCTTCTTTGTGCCCGGTGCGATCCCCCCCCCCGGGAGGAATGCATTCTTTTTGCCCCTCCGGGACATCACGTGGCTGGAGGGCTCGGTGGGACAGTCTTTTGTGTTACCTGAGGCGCGGCACTCTGGCAGCGTGAAGGGAGGGGATGGGGGCTGTGTTGGTGCGGTCGTGGGCAGGAATTCCTTTGTTACTGCTGGGTCATCCCCCTCCGAGCTGTGAAGGAAGGAGGGATTGGTCATAGAAGCCTCTGTGATTGTAGATCTCCCTGCTCCGAGAATGGCTACCTCCCGCTATGAACCGGTGGCTGAAATCGGTGTCGGTGCCTATGGGACGGTGTACAAGGCCCGAGATCCCCACAGTGGCCACTTTGTGGCCCTCAAGAGTGTGCGAGTTCCCAACGGAGGGGGAGCTGGAGGGGGCCTTCCCATCAGCACAGTCCGCGAGGTGGCCTTACTGAGGAGGTTGGAGGCCTTCGAGCACCCCAATGTTGTACGGTGAGGTTTGATTGGGAGTGGGGAAGAAAGAATAAGATCTGTAAACCAGGGGTGTGGTCGTCGGGAGTGGGACCCTAGCAATCCAGAGGCCACGTCGGAACAAAGGACATTGATCGGCTGACGACCGTTTATTTTTGTCAGGCTGATGGATGTCTGTGCTACCTCCCGAACTGATCGAGACATCAAGGTCACCCTCGTGTTTGAGCATATAGACCAGGACCTGAGGACGTACCTGGACAAGGCACCCCCACCAGGCTTGCCAGTCGAGACCATTAAGGTGAGCGGGCTGCACGGTGGGAGGGGGATTGGGGTCTTTGTGGTAGCAACTGTTGGAGATTTGGAGCGTGGTACATGGTGTCCCGTGTTTTCTGCTTTCTCCTTCAAAACCAGGACCTGATGCGACAGTTCCTAAGTGGCCTGGATTTTCTTCATGCAAATTGCATTGTCCACCGAGACCTGAAACCAGAAAACATTCTGGTGACAAGTAATGGGACAGTCAAGCTGGCTGACTTTGGCCTGGCCAGAATCTACAGCTACCAGATGGCCCTGACACCTGTGGTGAGTGGCAAGATGGCAGGCTGATGGGTTGCGACTGGATTTCCCGTAGGTGCTGAGGCATCTTGTGCTCGGCCTTCTCAAAGCCCAGCAGCTCTGACTCGGGAGAGGGAGCCTCACGTCGTTTCTCTTCTTCTCTTTAGGTTGTTACTCTCTGGTACCGTGCCCCTGAAGTTCTTCTGCAGTCAACATACGCAACACCCGTGGACATGTGGAGTGTTGGCTGCATCTTTGCAGAGATGTTTCGTCGAAAGTATGGGGCTTGAAACTTTTTGTTTTCGAGAAAGGGTAGCCCTGGCTGTCCTGTGACTCCCTCTGTACACCAGGCTAGCCTTGAACTCAGAGATCCACCTGCCTCTGCTCCTTAGTTCTGGACTAAAGGCAAGCGCTGCCGCCACCACCTGGCTCAGGGTTTGGAGGTCTTAAGCCGCCTTCAGGTCCACAAATCTTTTGGTATTATTTATGGTATTAGAGGTTGAAATCAGAACTGCATATACACTGGGCAAATGCTCTGTACCACTAAACTACACTCCCCGCCCCTGGGTCTTTTACAAGACATGTTCTTGACCATTTTGTACATATGGTGCTGGACGCCCAACTTAGGCTCCTATATTTATCAGGCATGTGCCCTGCCACCCGGCTATAGTCCCGGCCTATCCTGTTCATGTTCACCAACTTGCCTAAAACCAGAAACGATAACAGGCAACTCTGCTGAAACGTCTTGGAATTAGGAACTCTGTGTTCCTTTACCCTCCATCCTTTCTAGTCTGAGCCACATTGCCGTTATCATGCCCTTGCTTTTGAAATAATATATACTTTGAATATTTTTCTGCCTTAGGCCTCTCTTCTGTGGAAACTCTGAAGCTGACCAGTTGGGCAAAATCTTTGAGTAAGTGTCCAATAAAGGGGAAGGAAATTCCCCATTCTTAGTTCCGTTTATGCTCAGCTCCAGATAGCAGCTGGCCCTGGAGATGGAACCTGGAAAAAGCCTCCCTGACCAGAGTTGTGTTATCCCTGCAGTCTCATTGGATTACCCCCAGAAGATGACTGGCCCAGAGAGGTATCCCTGCCCCGAGGGGCCTTTTCCCCCAGAGAGCCGCGGCCGGTGCAGTCGGTGGTGCCAGAGATGGAGGAATCTGGAGCTCAGCTGCTGCTGGTACTGGGCATGGGCCAGGGAGGTCGCTCTATGGTAAAGCTCTTAGGACCTAAGTGTGAGGACCTGAGTTCGAATCCCCGGAACCCATGTAAAACCTATGTGTATCATCGAGCTTCTGTAGTGTCTCTTAAACCAAATGGGAGGCGGAGATAGAATTCCCTGGAAGCTCACAGGTCAGATAGTTGGTAAATACAGCGCTGACAAGAAACTCAAACAAGGCAGAGGGGAAGTACTGGCATTCCAGACTATCCTGACCTGATCTCTGTGTTGGCACAGACATGAACATGCACACAGAGAGGAATCAGTAATTTAGTTGTTCAGGGCCCAGGCCATTGTGGAACCAAGATCTAGTTAGTGGACAGGCTGTAGTTTTTCCTGCTACTATGAGTGGCCAGCAGGGTGCAGGAAACACTGCACAGCTTTGCTGGGGTGGGCATCATCCCCTTTGGCTGGTTTTTAACCTTTGCCTCCCCTCTTAGGAGATGCTGACTTTTAACCCACATAAGCGGATCTCTGCCTTCCGAGCCCTGCAGCACTCTTACCTACACAAGGAAGAGAGTGACCTAGAGTGAGAAGAGTAGCCACCTCTCCTCTCCTTGGAAGCGGCTTCGAAAACCTCAACCTGTGCCTTCCTCTGGGGCTGTGGAGACACCTCCAGTTTTTTACAGAGAATATTTTAACCCTTAAATGGCATTCCCCCTCCTCCTTGTGAGGTTTGTCTTCTTGCCCTCCGTTTCTTTACACTAAAGGGTGGGTGTCTCTGTCTTCTTCCCTCCCTGATTTATACTGGGATCTTTTTTATACAGCAAAAAAAAAAAAAAAAAAAGACAAAGTAATACGGTCTTTTTTTTCCCCTTTAATGTTTTTCTGATTGGGTTTGCCTTTGGGAGGTTTGAGAGCCCACTTGAAAGAGGGTTCTCTACAACATCTATAGGCTGTCACACAGGACCTAGACGGGCAATCCAGCTATTTGGCTGACAAGATCTTTCGATCCTTTCTCTGAACATTCAGTTAAAACGGCTTTAGTTTTAAGTCACTGCTTCACTCTGGGTCCCTCCTGGATAATAAGTCTTCTGTTCTGTGGTAGAAACACTTGCCTAGTATGTGTGAGGCCCTGGGCTATATATAGCCCTGACACCCCCTCCCCCCAAGAAAGTTGTTTCCCCTGGTACTTTCTGATTTGTCCTTGGAGCCAGGCTAGGGTGTCTAAGGGGGGTGGGGGGACAGTTAGGACAAGCTTCCATCTATGCTTCTATATTCTCCTGGGGAGAGTAAGTTTTCCTTTCCCATCAAAATTTGTGAAAACAAAAGTCTAACCAACCACTTGATCGGGGTTAGTGTAGGGTTAGGTTCTTTAAAACAAGCCAAAGATCCAGAGACTTGCTGAGTGGTGACAGACCCGTAATCCCACCACTAGGAAGCTGTGGCAGGGGGAATCCAGGACTCAAGGTCATCCTTGGCTGCATAGCAAGTAGGAGACCAGCCTAAGCTTCAGAGACCCTATCTGGAGGATGAGAAATCATAGAAAGGCACTGGGGTTGGCTCGGGGGTCTTTTTGATTCCGGAATCTCATTGCCAGCCAAACACCGAGGATCTACAGGAGAAAGAGAGAGCAAAGTTATTTTGGATCTTGGGGTTTACGGCTTATGGGTGTCTGCCTGAAGGAAAGGGGAATCATTACCTCTGTGAAGCTAAAGAAGAGGCCAACACCACCTAGGATTTTCAGGGCTTCGTCTGAATGTTTGAGGAACTTCTCTCCACACATCTGGCATGTAGAACTCCTGGTTTTACACATCTGAAAACAAAACAATGCAAAGCTGCTAGCCTACCCCATCCAACTAGCCACAATGTCCCCAGAAATAACTGACATTAGCCGGGCGTTAGTGGCGCACGCCTTTAATTCCAGCACTCGGGAGGCAGAGGCAGGCGGATCTCTGTGAGTTCGAGACCAGCCTGGACTACCAAGCGAGTTCCAGGACAGCCTCCAAAGCCACAGAGAAACCTTGTCTCAAAAAAAAAAAAAGAACTGACATTTGAACGGTTCCCAGACTGTAGTCCCATTTGGCTAAATTCTTGTAGCCCGGTTCATGGCTCACCACTCAAATTGAGGCATGGCCCTCACCCATTTCCTCTTAGCTGCACTCCCCACACTTCAACTTACTGCGCCACAGGAAGTATCATGTAGGTACGGTGTTGTAAGGTTGAACAAGCCACAGCAGTCAAAACTTCTCTCCAATTCATGCCGGGTACTGTTGCTCATGACCCACCAAGATGCATTGATGACATCCATCTAGAGTATACAGACAGGCAGATGTCCCTACAATACACACTCAGTTCACATGCTTCAATGGCCTATTCTAGCAAGGGCAATCAGCGTCCCCCAGAAACAGGACGACATGCCATGGTCACAGACAGTGCCAAGTGTCTTTCAGGTTCTCTGACTACATCCTGGGGAGTTAACCATTCATGTCAGAGGAAGCACACGTCTCTGAAGTCGTGGACCCAAGGATGAAGGTGTGGAAAGGTCAGGTTACTAGAGCTTTAAAGGGGGAGACAGCAAGCTAGGACTGGAAAAGGCATCACTGCCTCACCTGTTTATTTCGGTTAATAGCCAGACACGAGCAAGAGATTCCGAACTGGAAGATGAAGACCAGGCCGAGGATGATCATGTACTGAGAAGCAGTTATGGCAAAAAAGATTTAGTTTCCATTTAAAGTATCTCAGCGTGAGCCGGGCGGTGGTGGCGCACGCCTTTAATCCCAGCACTCGGGAGGCAGAGGCAGGCGGATCTCTGCGAGTTCGAGGCCAGGCTGGACCGACAGCCTCCAAAACAGAGAAACCCTGTCTCGTAAAACCAAAAAAAAAAAAAAGTATCTCAGTGTGAAGGCCATTCTGGTGTGAGTGCCAGGCTAGCCAGGATTATGTAGCATGATCCCAATTTTCTGTGTTTTTAAGACCTCACCCAGTGTAATTTGTAACTGCAATGTGGCAGGCAAGGGGACAGAGTTCAAGGCCTTTCTCGGTTCCTAAAACTAGCTTTATCGAGTTGAGAACAAAAACATCAACTTCTGTGAATTACAGAGTAAGAACAGAGGTTCCCAAATCCTTTTAGGAAAAGCCTGCCCGGGGACCCCAATCACTCCAGGTCAGGATACAAAGAAGAGCAGCACTTGGTGGTGGTTAACAGCACCCACGAGCCCAGCCACTGCAATCAGGAGAAGGAAGACTCCCACCGCAATGACTCCTCCAATGATATGAATACTGGACACCAGACCCAGGCCCTTGCCCCAGGCAGCCACGCCAATGAGCAATAAGCCCACAAGCTGCAAGAAACAGAAAGTAGAATACATTTCAGCCTGGTGTGGTGGCTCACACTTGTAATCCCTGCAAACCACAGCAAAGTTCAGGCTAGCCTGTGCTAGCTACATAACGAGACCCTGTCATCACCAAAGAACTCGAGCATGCAGCACCGCCAAAGGCTATTACTAAGGAACGTGAACTAAGTAGGGTAAGCAACGGAGGTGTGCTTTCAGAGCTACTCATCCCTGGGCACGCTTCGTAAGTAACAGGGAATATCTGGGATAGTAGGGCAATGGCAGTAGCGTCTCGGGATACACTCCTTAGGGTTGTCCGGCGTCTCTATTTTGGGAAGGAACCGGTGGAGACTGGACCTGTAGGCCCGCAGTCTTCCATACACCCCTTCCCACCACCAAACAAGGCCCCTCGTCACCGGAAGTCTCTCCTCTTCCACAGAAGTACCCAGGAATTCCCTCTTCGCCGGAAGTTTCTAGGAAGCTTCCTAGAACCCCCAGTAAACCCCTCTCCCCACCGGAAGTCCCCTAGAAATTCTCCCCATTCTTTCCGCCCCAGAGCTTTCCCCACCTCCAAAACCTCACCATATAAACCACGTTGAGAGCGCACAGCGCATTCTTGGAACAGGCAAATCCGCCGCAAACCATCTCCCCAGTTCTGGGGACCCAAATGGCCCCAAGGACTTGAGGGGAGGGTATCGGGGACCGTCGTGTAGCACTCCAACAGCTTCTATCGCTTTAAATCCAAGGCAGCCAAACCAATTCTCTGCGCCTGCACCGTCCCACCCCTGCCTCTGGATTGGCGAAACTCGTGCCTAATCCAGGCCATCCAGCATTTCAATGCCAATCAATCTGCATTACGTCACCAGCCCGCCTCCCAGTCCTTCCCTCTGTTTCTTCATTGGACAAAACTTAAAAAAAAAAAAACCGAAGACAGGGTTTCTGGACAAAACTTAAAAAAAAAAAAAAAAAAAAAAAACGAAGACAGTTTCTAAGGGACCTGAGCCTAAACTTCAAAAGCCTGGATTCCTGTGCTCCCGCTTGCGACTCTAGGAGTCTGAGGAGAGGCTCGGGGTACTCAAGTGAACAGAAAAGGAGGGGCTTGTAAAGGTGGGAGGAAGGGGCTCCGCCCCTCTAGGAATAACCCTTTCCCGCTGGTTCCCCCATGTTTCAGGACGATTCCACGAAGATGCAATCGTTTTGTTGTTCGTGCGTCATACTCTGGAACACCAAGAGGAGCCAAATACTGAACTATGTAACCCAGCTAGGGAGGATCCAAGTCAGGCATAGCAACAGCCGGCAAATCCTCACGCATTTGGTTTTTCTTTTTTGTTTGGTTTTTCGAGACAGGTTTTCTCTGTAGCTTTGGAACCTGTCCTGGAACTCGCTCTGTAGACCAGGCTGGCCTCGAACTCACAGAGATCCACCTGCCTCTGCCTCCCGAGTGCTGGGATTAAAGGCGTGCACCACCACTGCCCAGCATTTGTTAAATGTGTCTACTAGTGCGCATGATCTGTTCTGCATCCCTTCCTCTGCAGTGTGAACATGCCAGAAATTCAAGTGGAAACAGTAACCTGAGGCCGGTACATTCCTGTTTATGACAAAACCACAGGCGCAGACACTGCATACGTACCTGATTCGGGCTGGCACAAAATGATACAAAGTATGGGGTCGGGACTGGACTATGAATAAATGAAGACTATCCATGCTTTCTTTTTAAATTTTATTTTTTACTTTGTATGCATTGGCGTTTTGCCTGTATGTATGTCTGTGTGAGGGAGTCGAATCCCCTGGGAACTGGAGTTGCTGACAGTTGTGAGCTGTCAGGTGGGTGCTGGAATTGAACCCTGGTTCTATGGAAGAGCAGCCAGTGCTCTTAACCACTGAGCCATCTCTTCAACCCCAACTCTTCATATTTTCACTCCAGATGGGGGAAATAATGAGTGGCTAGTCAATAATGTTATTGCATAAGCATTTGGACATAGTGCCCTTTGAATAGGAGTGAGAAATGGTGCAACCCATCCCGTCCTCCTGGACAAAGAAGTGGCCTTGGTGGGAACAAACCCAAAAACACTCTCCATCAACTTCACACGGTGATTTGAGTCTATGTATGCTCACATCATGTGACCTGCCTACAGTCTAGTGTTGTGCTGGAGTCAAATCGAACAGGTTTTAACTTTGTCAAGACTTAGTATCTGTACAAGCCAGGCACTTAAGCTCTCTGCACCTACGTCTTCATCCATAAAATGGGAATAGATGACAATGCATCTGCCTCTAAGGATACTTCTCTAACAACTTCTGTTCTGTTGTGAGCACCAAATGAGCTAGGATGTATAAAACCCTTGAGTCAATACCCAGTACTTAGCAACACTTGGTTACAAGTGTTTAGTCCATTTTTATGGAGTCCAGTAAATAATCCAAACTCAACCCCTTTATCTCCGAATATAAAGACGTTCACATACTTACTTTTCATAAGCCATCCTTGAGAAAATATGCATGATAGTCTAGAGAGTTGGCTCCAAGGTTAACAGCACTTGAGCTCAGTTCTCAGCACCCATATGATGGTTCACAACCATCCACAGCTCCAGTTCCAGGGGACCCAATACCTTCTTACCTATGGAGGCACCAGACAGGCACATGGCACACATACATATGTGCGGGTAAAACACTCATACACAGAAAATAAATTTTTTAAATGAAATAAACACTGGCTGGTCCATATGGTGCACACCTTTAGTCCCAGCACTCGGGAGGTAGAAGTTTGAGGCCAGCCTGATCTACAGAGCAAGTTCCAGGACAGTCAAGTCTGTACAGAAAAACTCTGTCTCAAATAAATAAATAACATTTTTTTTGAAGCAGGGGTTTCTCTGTAGCTTTGGAGCCTGTTCTGGAATTTGCTCTGTAGATCAGGCTGGCCTCAAACTCACAGGGATCCATGTGCCTCTGCCTCCCGAGTGCTGGGATTAAAGGTGTGCGCCACCCCCCCCCATGTCCCCCACCACCGGGCAAAGAAAATACTTCTAAATATTTTTTAAAGAAGCTATACAAAAGAAAATAATTTCTTATCTCCATATAGGTTCAATCTGTCTTTGAAACCAAATAATTATGCCAAAGCTGGGGAGACAGGCTGGGAATGAAGAAAGCTGGGAGACAGGCTCAGGATAAAGTACTTGCCATGCAAGTATGAGGGCCAGAATTTGTATCCCAGAGTGTCCACAAAGGCCAGGCAGGTGTGGCTGCTGCCTGTAACTCAGGCACTCTGAAGGTGGAGACAAGGGTCTTCAGGGCAAGCTGGCTAGCTAGGTTAGCTTGTCAGAAAGTTCTGGACTTGCTGGAAGACCCAGCCTCAATGAATACACTGGAGAGGAATCAAGAAGACATACAATGTCAACCTTGGATCAACCCACTCAAAGGCACATATGTCCATGTGAATCCACACACAAATGCTGTGACGGGGGGGGGGGTAGAGGGGATGGGGGAGAAGATTTTTGTCTACATGGGGTTGGCTTGTGTCTCTGTGGGGAGTGTCTTAATTCAGTTAATTGGTAAGAAAAAAACCAGTCCACTGTGGGTGGCCCCATTCCCTAGGAAGTCATGAACTGTTAAAGAGTGGAGGTAGAGAGCCAGGCACGCCTTTAATCCTAGAGGCAGGCAGATCTCTGTGAGTTCGAGGCCAGTCTGGTTTACCAAGCAAATTTCAAGACAGTCTCCAAAACAATACCGAAAAACCCTGTCTCCAAAAACAAAAACAAAAACAAAAAAGAGCATATCACATTCACACAGCAATAAAGCAGAACTGTAAACAGAAATAAATACATGCTAAGTTGGGTTGTCACAGTAAAAGAAATGAAGCCAGAACACACAGGAACACATACACCTGTGCATACCATGCACACATACACATGCCAAAAAAATAATAATTGGGGCAACTACCCATTACCTACGGACCCCCCCCTCTGCCACCAACTTGCTTTATCTCCATTTTCTCTTTCAATTCCTCGTTCTTCTTCTATATAGGGTCATGAGTCAAGAGCAGAACAATGGGGCTGAGGAACTGGCTGGGAAGTATCTAGTTGCATGTCTGTTAAATTAAAAGTACAACTGGATCTTTGTTCACCTATTATGGACCTTTCTGAGCAATGGTTTGCAGTTCTGCATAATAGTGATAAATTATCCTACCCTTTGGGCTTGTCGTTAATATACATTAAAGTCTATTGTAAGTGATTAAATGTTATACACATGCTAATTATTAAAACAGAAGCTGAACTAGGAGCACATAGTTTTATCTGGCTATAGGTTTCTTTCCTCCCCTAGAGCCTATTCTTCCTGTAACTACTTGAGTCTTTTAAACAGGAGATGGTTATAATGGATAAACGACTAAGAGAAGCCTATAGGACTGTGTAGACAGAGGGGTGAATAGCCGGATCTTCAACGCTTGATGCTCAGAAGTATGAGCCTTAGTTCTAATGGCTGAGCTATCACTCCAGCCCCAAAGAAGGGGATATGTGTACACTAGCCTGCAGGCCTCTGTGGTGACATACGAAGGGCATGTGGATGTCTGTGTGATTCTGAGACAAATTTGCAAACCACCAAGAGTATGGAACCTACCTGTGATCTCGCTGGCCATGTTCTCCCAGAACCAACCCCCATCTTAATTAGCTACCTCCCACAGAGACTGTGAGAACTCTTATTAAGGTCACCTGACAGGAATCATACCCAGGACTGGCTGTCAGAGCTGAAGGGCCAACGCTAGAGGGGGCAGGAGGTGTAAGAGGTAGTACGGTGTGGGTTGTGGGTTTGAAACTCACCAGTCAGGAAGTGAGGCCGACAGACGGAAGGGCGGGCAGGGTTGAGGAGTTCTGGGGCACAGCAGAAGGGGCCTTCTGAAGTTTGGGGGCTTTGGGGTCATGGGCTTCAGGGCCAGAGCTGGTTGCTAGTCTGGCGAGGCAGGTCTATGTAACATGTATGCCCAGAGGCAGTTGGCTCTAGCCACAGTAAGAGCAGAAGTCAGACGACATGAGGTGGCCAAGCAGGCTCTAAGCCGGCTCAGGAAGCTGGCAGAGAGAGTGGGTGACCCTGATCTCCGAGATGGCATCCAGGCCTCACTGGACAACATACGAGGTAAGAGGCGCATCAATCCAGAACTTGGCTGTTTTGGGGGCAGCAGGGGACACAGAAAGGCTTAACAGTGTCATAACTGCTTGCTGTTGAAGCAGCCACTTCCTAGTTCTTAAGATGGAGCAGGACTCGGGAAGAGGACCTTTGGGGAGGATGGAAAAAGACGTGGAGGGGGCATTACTACTCCTCTGTCCAAAATCGCCTCTGAACAAAATACTAGTTGCCGGGCAGACCTTCTTGGCAGGAGAGTGAGTGGATAAGCGTTGGGAAAATAGACTGTAGCAGACCCATTAGATGGAATCCCCATCTGGGGAGTCCAGAACAGGAAACGGTCAGGGCCAGGAGGTTCTGGGACTTGATAATGTGTTCATTCCCAGAGCCCACTAAAGATCAGTGACCTCTCGTCCTCCACTGAGAGAAACATGCAGAAAGGCGGGGGGGGGGGTGTTTTGTGAGGTTCCTGAGCACACCACTAACCCTTAAAAGCCCACACTTCGCACAGCTGCAATGCTGCAGTACAAGATGTCCCCAGGACTTGCTCCAGTCCCTCTCCCCTGTGCACCCGCTCTTGTCTTCCCCGCACCTCCTCAGTGCCTTCCGCTCTACCTCCTTAGTGCCATTAGAGCAAGTGATGACAACACAGGGAGGAAGTGCTG